CCCACAAATCCTAAAATATTTACTATCTGGCTCTTTACAGAAAATGCCTGCCAGCTCCTGGGTCACACATATTGATTGGTTCATTCTCCCCAGCTGGAAACAGTGGTGATGGGAGCAGCTGTGGGGTAGAAAGGCCTTCACTAAACGCACTGCGGGGGAAGCTGGCTGGTCCCACCCCAGGAGGCCATGGGGGTGGCAACTCTCCCCAGATCCAACGCAGGAAGCAGACGCCAGCCCTGCTCGTGGTTTAGGAGTTTAGGAGGCGTGGAGCACCTGTAGCAGAGCACCCAGCCTGCAGGTGAGCAGTGGAGTCTCGCACAGAACAGGGAAGAGCCCACCTGCGGTGAGCAGCACTCCAGGCACAGGCTTCTTGCCTTACCAGCGAGCTACCCACCGGCCACGCTCCAGAGGCTCAGGGTGGATGGGCCCCAGGAAGGTTGCCTGGTTGGTAACTGACTTTCCAAGGTTCTTCCAACTCTCAAGAGTCAGTAGAAAACCCTGGGAGTGAACTATATTCAGAAGCACAAGTTTTCCAATACAATGTCATCTCAAAATCAAAAGAATCAAGAATGTGGCTTGTCCAGAAGACTAGCAGAAAAGCCTCCATCTTCCTTCTCTCCTGCGACAAGTGGTGCAGCATCTGGGATGTACCTCACTGCCCTCCATGCCCAGGGATGACATGGCGGATGTCAGCTCCCGGGCCGGCTTCCTGCCATCAGCGGGCAGGTGAGCGCCCAGAGGACGTGAAAGCATCGCTCCCACCAGCAAACAGCTGTGTCGAGCACAGGCGACAGGGCGTTTGCCTCGGGCAGTCCCTCAGTGTCTCCAGGCCTCCGGGTTACATCTGCAGAATAAGTGGCTTTGATGCAGGACCTCCGTGGTTCCTTTCAACATGATTACCTCGCTCTGTAATTACACCTGTGTTGCTCACTGCCTTACTCATAGCACAAAAATGGCATGCACCAACAAGTCCTTACTTCACTTCCTGATATCCTTCTCCACCTACTCTCTCATCACAAAATCAGTGTGACAAATTAGGCGAGATTCCAGAACCAAACGTGTGGCTCTTGAAGCCAGGCTCAGTGGAAACTGTCTGCCTGGATGTAGTGGGCAGACAAAAGGAAGTCTTCTAATACCGTGCCTTTCACCATGAAAAAGACTTTCCTTCTGGAGGCTCAATTCTCAGGTCTGGGTTCAAAACCTCAGCAGGGGCCTTGGGAAATGCTGGGAAGGCCGATACCAGCAGCTCTTGGAGGAGCCACTCACCAGTGATTGCAAAAACAAAGTGTGTGTGTGTAGGCACATCCTCTGTCCTAAACGTATGGTCAGCAAATAGCATGCAGGTTTGGTGACCCCATTCTGCTCTCACAGATAAAAAGGAAAGAAGTGAGTGAGGGGAGGAGAGTTAGAAACAGTGAATCCGGTGGGTCTGGAGCTCATGAACACGAAGTTGTGGGAACACTCCTTGAATCTGGGGCGTTTGCCCAATTCACTGGACCCAGATGAACGCAACAGATGTGACGGGAACACTGGGCTCCAGGTGGCCCAGAGGGAAGGGGATGACCCTACAGCTGGGAGTGGACAAGAGCCTCCCTGAACGCAGGCCTTTCTACCCAGAAGGCCTGCACTGCTATCCTCCTAACCTTCGAGATAAAACTTCTTCTGATGGAACCCAACCCAGTTGGACTCATGACCCAAGATGGGCATCAGGGGAGCTGCTCTCAAGAATGAATGCAGCTCTGGCCGGTGGTGCTCAGTGGCTAGAGCGTCGGCCTATGGACTGAAGAGTCCCAGGTTCAATTCCGGTCAAGGGCATATGCCTGGGTTGCGGGCTTGGTCACCAGGGGGAGGTGTGCAGGAGGCAGCTGATCAATGATTCTCTCTCATCGTTGATGTTTCTAGCTCTCTCTCCCTCTCCCTTCCTCTCTGAAATTAAAAAAATATATATATTAAAAAGAAAAAGAACGAATACAAAATTTTGCACATATGTAAGTATGTCCATTTTTTTCTGGTGAGAAGGCTCATCGCTTTCATTTTTCAAAGAGGGCCATAGATAATGTGATTTTTAAAAATCCAATATATTACCCTTTTTAATTATGCCTCTACTTAATTATCCAACAGGTATCTAAGGAATTTAAATTTCAAATATTTCCCCCCCAAATTAAGAAAGGTCAAGAGTTGACAGTGAAGTTTGAGAATGCGGCATGCCTGCTAATGCTTTCACTCTCTCCCGAAAACTCAGAAAGCAGAAGAGATTACATATGACTGATTACAGCTGACCCGAGGTAGATCCACTCGCATGATCGCAGCTGAAATCAGTTCAGCCGCTGTCAGTGACGGAAGAGGCGATGGAGATGCCGATGGAATACGAGACCAGCAGTCTAGCCTCGAGTCCTCGCTCCCCGCCTTGACCTGTGACCTTGGGAGTCCCCCTCCTGTGCTTGGGCCTATCAAATGCAGGCCACTGAAGCAGAACGGTGGTCTGCAAGCACTTTGAAGGCAATGAACATTATGTGTATATAAAACCGTCTAGAATTCATCAGAAGCTGAAACAAATTCAAAACGGCAGGCTGAACACACGCATGTACATCCACTCCTAGAAACCCCGTAAGTTATTACCCTTCAATGGCTATACTTACTGAGCATGGACCACATGGGTGTTTTTTTAATGTTTAAACTGAGATTTCAACCCTGGACATATCAGTCTTTTCTTTTCTTTCTTAAATATGTTTTTATTGATTTCAGAGAGGAAGGGAGAAAGAGAGAGAGACAGGGACATCAGTGATGAGAGAAAATCATTGATCAGCTGCCTCCTGCACGCCCCCCACTGGGGATCAAGCCCGAATCCGGGCGTGCGCCTTTGACAGGAATCCTATCAGGGACTCTTCAGTCCGCAGGCCAACACAGGTCACATGATTGTTTTAAGCGTATTATTAACTAATGGAAACCTTAACACTTTATAACAATAATTTTACTGATTGATTTTAGAGAGAGACAGGAAGGGAGAGGAAGGGAGGGAGAGAGAAACATCGATTTTTTGTTCTATTCATTGATGCACTTACTGGCTGATTCTCGGATGTGTCCTGACCGGGGACTGAACCCGCAGCCTTTGGTGTATTGGGACGACGCTCTAACGAACTGAGCTCCCGGCCATGGCAAAGCCTGAACACTCTTACTAGGAGGTGCTGGTGCCCATTTCACAGATGCAGGAACTGAGTCACCAGCATGGAAGGTACCTGCCCAAGTCCCCACGGCCAGTGAGTGGCCGAGCCAGGGTGCAGGCCCAGGCAGTCAGGCGTCTGTGCTGTGCACACCCCCTCTCAGACCCACAACCAAGGAACAGCGAAGCTCCCAGAGAAAGAGAAGCTGAAGGAGACAGAGATCAGCTAAAATGTCACCCTATTTTGGGAGATGGAAAGCGGACCAATGAGGAGTAATGACGGGTGGAGTCTACCGAGTGCTGTCCCCCTCGCAGACCCCGTCCCACACTCCACTGCTGGAGACACAGGTCTCCTCTCGTGGCGTGAGCATTAAGGAAGCCCGAAGACAGGCAGGCGGGGAGGAGCCCGCCACCGGGGCACATGCCCGTGACCAGAATCGAACCGGGACCCTCTGGTCCCCAGGCCGACGCTCCATCCACTGAGCCACATGGCCAGGGCCGTTCTCGGCGTTTCGTGTCTGGGTCGGCTGGCCCCGGGCAGACCAGACATTTCTGTCCCGGAGCATTTACAGCGATGAGAAGCGCAGGCCAGGCATCGGGCAAATACCAGACGCGCTCCCGTAATCCTCAGGGTAAGACTGAGAACGAGGATCACCTGTTTTCTGCTGGAAACCTGGTGCTTTGAAAACGGAACCTGCCCCACTAGGTCGCCACGGGGATGGTCGCCCGGGTCCCTCCCGCACCCGGGCCGCTCTCAGCCTTTCCGCTCTGCTGTCTGCAGAGACCTGACTCCAACAGGAAGAAGAAGTTCCCTGAAGCCGTGAAAATACGAGCAAAGAAGGAGCTCCGTGTGGCTAATCGTCCACAGGAGCCGAGGCTGCCCGGCCAGAGCCCAGCAGGGACCGGACGCGGCTGCACCTGCCCATCGGGGCTCCGCGCAGCCGCTGGGCCGGAGGGAGGGCAGCCCGCGGGCCGCCAGCGGGAAGCCCTGCGAAGCCGGGGGAGGCTGGTCCCGGGAGAGGACCCCGCTGCAGGCGGCCACCGGCCCCCCCGCCCGACCTTCGCGGTGATGGGGGGCCTCGCAGTGCGGGCCGGGGAGCCGGCTGTCTACCTCAGCAGGTCCCCAGCTCCGATTTTCATCGCTGCTTTTTAAACAACCCCACTTACTTTTTAAAATACAGTTTCGCTGATTTCAGAGGGGACAGGAGAGAGGGAGAGCTACGGAAACATCCATGATCGGCCGCCTCCCGCACGCCCCGCACTGGGGAGCGAGCCCACAACGCGGGCGGGAGCCCCGACCGGGAATCGAACCCGGGACACTGCGGTCCGCAGGCCGACGCTCTAACCACTGCGCCACCGGCCAGGGCCAGACCCAGACCCGCAGCTCCAAAGCAGACGAGGCGGCCAGGCGACGGCCACGGGCAAGCGATGCCCGCGAAGGCGCCCCCGCTCCCCCACCACGCGGCGGACCTCGGGCACAGGGGTGTCTGGAGGCGGGGCAGGTGCTTCCGCGGAGCCGGCAGAGTGGGGGGCCCCACCCTCCTCCAGGGGGGCTGCCGGCCCCTTTCCTCCGGTCCGCGACCGAAAGGGGAGGCGGGCCCCCCGATGCCCCCCACCCCGAGGGCCCGGGCGGCGCGCCGCTCCGCCTTTCCTTCCCGGGGAGGCGGGCTGTGCGGGTCCGTCTCCCGCTCGCCGCCTCCTCGGCCCCACACGGCCTCCCGCGGGCGCCCGTTCCCCACCTCTCCGCCCGCCAGACCTCGCTTCCCCTATGGGCCCCGCCCCTCTGTCTTCCCCTCGGTCCCTGCTCCCTCAGCCCCGCGCCGCCGCCAGCCTTCGGTACCTTGAGCGTCACGTCGCACAGCTTGCCCTGCCGGCGGATCTCCTCCATGACGCCGTAGCCGCGACTCGGCAACTCGGACACGGAGAAGTGCACCAGGTCCTCCAGCTCCTCCGCGCCGTCCTCCACCATCTTCACCCGCCGCCGCGACTGCGCAGGCCTGGCCGGCCGGCCGGCTCTCAGCTCCCCGGGGCGGGGCGGGGCGCGGGCGCGCGCCGACGTTGGCTCCGGCGCAGGCCTGGGAACAGACGGGCCTGCGCGGCCGCCGTAGTCGGAGTCGCTTCTGCGCCGGAAGCCCTGCTGCCCCGCTTCCTGGTTCGTGCGCAGCTTTCGTTTCCTTGCTATCTCGACCCTGGTCTCGCACCTGCAGCTGCCGCATTCTTCCTAGAATCAGCGGTCCCATCTCCTGTTTTCCTGATGTTGCCCTGACCTTACTCGTATCTCCACCGAGGACCACGGACTTCATTTCCGCCACTACCTCAATACTTCCGGGACCTACGGAAGCGGCCCGTTGCCATGGCGACCGTGTACACAACCTGGCAGCTGCGCGCGCGGGTTTTCCTTCGCAGCAGTTGCAGTGGTGGTGCTGCGGCGCGGCTGCTGCCTCCGGAGCGGTAAGCAGGGCCCACGCGCCGCCGGGGTGGGGTGAAGGGAGGTCGGAGAGGAGGGGGTGTACGCCGGGGCGGCGGGCAGCGGCTGGGATCCGAACATCGCTCCACCCGGGAGTTCCCCAGCATCTCTCCCTGACCGGTGAAACCCGGGCGCGGCATCGCGGGGGAGGGGGGCGGAGGGGGGGGGCCTTCCAGGCTGGCTGAGGCTTAGAGTCTTCAGATCTAACGTTCCCTGTCCCCACGAGGGCCCTACGTCGCGCCCAAGGTTCCGAGGATGCGAGGCTGGGGCCAGAGGTATTCCAGGCTCTTCTGCTCTTAACCGTTTTCGAACTTGAAGTGACTTAAGGCTCGCCAGTCCGAGCCCTTTGCTTTACAAATGAGAAAACTGCTCCAGAGAAGGACAGGGATGGTCCTAAGGCCCACTGCCTCCCAGACTCCACACAGGGGTCCGACATGTTGGGTGAGGAAAGGAGAAAGGCCAGTTTCTGCGTGGATCCGAGTATTTTGTTTAGCCCAAGGCTGGGTGCGTTTGGACCCTGTTTGGGGCTGGTTCCGTTGCTGCTGCCGCTCTGGAGATGAGGTTTCCCATGAGAGTCCCTGGCTTGGCAGGAGCGCTGTAAGATAGGAACTCACGTGGTGCCTACCTTCCCCGCGTATGCCCCCTCTCCTTTTATTGAGCCGTCAGGTGCTTGGTGGCAATTCTATTCCTTCCCACCCCCAAAACAAACGAAGACACCCCGAGCCTCTACAGCAGGGGGCTTCCTGGTGGCCACTCAGAAATATCTAATGGTAGCAGCCCCCATGAGAGAGCAGCATTCCCCACAAGGACCTACGGGAGGCGGGCCCCACTAAAGGGAGGGCATGGTGAAGGGGGCTGAGCTTAGCTTCTTGAAAGTGGTGCTTGGAAAGTAAGTGTCCTCCTAGAGGGGCTGTGGGCTTCGGGGTGGGTGTGGGAGGGGAGTGACATTTCATGCCCCTGGGGACTCTCTCAGTAGTGACCGAAGATGGACCCACATGTGGAGATGCAGCACCCCTCTGACTTCCAACCATGACCATTACCACCAACCACCATTTCTTGGGCACCTGCTCTGTGCTGGGTACTGCTGTGGACCTTGAGGGGGATTCAAATAAAAGGCACAGTCCTTTCCCCCAGCAGCTTGTCATGTCACTGGGGAGCTGAAACCCGCTCAGATGATGTGGCGTAAGAACAGTAACAAGCATCTCAGTAAGTGCGAGGTGCATGGGGTCCCCAAAGGTCTGGGTGCCAAGGGGCTGCTGAGTAGCAGAGGTGCAGGAGGGTGCAGTGAGTAGAGAAGTCGAGAAGGCTTGCCTCTGGGGATGGGCATGGCTCCTGGCATGCGTGGGGCCATGGGTGTGAGCACGGGGAGGGCCTTGGGCAGCTCAGATAGGCGACTGCATGTGCATGTTGGCCAATTGCATGGTAGAGAAGGGGCCGGCTCTGAGGGGAGGGTGATGCTTGGAGATGGCCAGCGCGGCCCTTGTGCGGTCCGTGGGTGGGGGCTGCCAAGAGGGACCCGTGGGCACCGACCCCCAGAGGCGGCCCTAATAGGTTCCTCTCAGACTGGTCTGGAGAATGGTTCCCAGAGCTTTAGAGATTGAGGGTGTTTGCTGGAGTCAAAACACACCTCCTCCCACTCTCAACTTCCCAATAATCTCCAAAAAGTGAACTCAGAGGGGAGAGGTTCTCCGCAGTTTCTCCAGCTTGGAGTTGGTGTTAGAGCTACTTGTGGCTTTTTGTTCCTCAAGATCAGTTTTGCCGACAAGGATTTCAGGACGGAGATTGGACAAGCCACGACCTTTGCTCACCTGAGGGCCTTTCACATTCAGAGTTATCCTTGGAGGGTTGTACAATTCAGTTGTTTCTTTTTTTAAAATTTTTCTTTATTGTTGGAAGTATACAGGTGTCCACTTTGGTTTTTGTGAGTGTGTGAGTGTGTGTGTGTGTGTGTGTTTCCGCATTGACCCCTCTTCCTTGCACCCACCGTCCCAAGCCTGCGCCACACTATTGTCTGTCCGTGGGCTACGCATATATGCATAAGTTCCCCGGTTAATCTCGCCCCCCAACACACACACACACACACACCCCACACACCTTCCCTCTGAAATTCATCAGTCTGTTCATGGGTCTATGTCTCTAGATCTATTTTGGTCATCAGTTAGTTTTATTTATTAGATTCCACATATGGGTGAGATCATGTGATACTTATCTTTTTCTGACTGGCTTATTTCACTTAGCACAATGCTCTCCAGGCCCATTCATGCTGTTACAATTCCGTTTTTAGAAATACTTATACTTTGTTATTTGGGTAGGATCTTAGAGATCCGTTAACTCTCCCCTTTTGTAGCATCTCTGGAGTTTGCTTTACTGCTTGTGGAGTTTATGGTCCTGCCCTGAGAACATGTTTTCCATTGTCGGACAACTCTATCTATTAGGAGGGTCCTTTACTTAAATCGCCCCCACCCTTGTATCTATAAGCATTCTATCACACGTTTATTTCAGCGTTTCATTAGTCACGGTAATTATTTGTGATCATACAATACAGGAATACACATATCGGTGTTTCTGTCTGAAAGAAGATGGTGAGACTCCAGTTTTAGGAGGAGAGGACGGAGGGGACTATCTGTGATTCTTTTCTCGATGGGGGGCCAGAGGAGAACGAGTACAGGATTATGGGCTAGCAGGTCGCGGGCGCGATCCCCAGTGTGGGGCGTGCAGGACGCAGCCATCAGGATTCTCCCTCTCACTGACGTTTCTCTCTCTCTCCCTCTCCCTTCCTCTCTGAAATCAATAACACTATTTTTTTAAAGAAAAGAATTAGTTTTAATGCTTTTCATGGTAAGTACGTTCAAGAAAAATACAGTGGCCCTAGCCGGTTTGGCTCAGTGGATGGAGCGTCGGCCTGTGGACTGGGGGGTCCCGGGTTCGATTCTGGTCAAGGGCATGTACCTTGACTGCGGGCACATCCCCAGTGGGGGGTGTGCAGGAGGCAGCTGATCGATGTTTCTCACTCATCGATGTTTCTAACTCTCTATCCCACTCCCTTCCTCTCTGTGAAATATCAATAAAATATATTTTTTTAAAAAAAGAAAAATACAGTGAACAAGGCAATTACCAGTGGACTCAGATGCGGAGCCGTTCTAGAAACCACACCTGAGACGGGCGCGGGAGGGCTGGGGCGGGAGGGGCGTCTGAGCCTTCGCTCCAGTCTCCTGGGGCGGGGTCGAGGGTGGGCACGACACGGCCACCTGGAGAGCAGGGTCCTGTGGGCGGGGGGAGATGGCTCCCGGGGACGGGAGACCGGGGACGGGAGACCGGGGACGGGACACCACTCCTTCTGCCTCTGCCTGAGGAGTGACGCCCCTCTCGCCGTCGCCTGGTGATGGACGACGGCCACTGACCCTGTCGCTGTTTTCCTCTCTCCAGCGAGAATGAGCACTAGGAAAAAAGTGCACGCGTTTGTCCGTGTCAGACCCACCGATGACTTTGCTCATGAAATGATCAGATACGGCGACGACAACAAAGTAAGTGCGACGCGTGTGCCTCCCGGCCTCTCTCCGTCCCGCCGCAGCTTGGGGTGATCAGACGGGACGGGTGAAAGCCCAGCCGGACTCCAGGGTCCACCAGGCCCAGCCATTCCCCCGCGATGCTGTCTGTGAGGAAACTCCCCACTCCCGGTTCCCATCGTCTTTGTGGTTAATAAGTTTCCCTTTAGCCCTGGCCGGTTCTGCTCAGCGGGTAGAGCGTGGGCCTGTGGACTGAAGGGTCCCGGGTTCGATTCCGGTCAAGGGCACATGCCTGGGTTTCGGGCTCGATCCCCAGTAGGGGGCGTGCAGGAGGCAGCCGATCCGTGATTCTCTCTCATCATTAATGTTTCTATCTCTCTCCCCCTCTCCCTTCCTCTCTGAAATCAATAAAAATACTTTTTTAAATAATAATAAAGGTCCCCCTGTGCTAAAGCAGTTTAGTAAGAACATGGTACATGTACTTGACCCCGTATCAGAGGTGGGGCCACGACATCCCCCTGTGAACCGGGGAGAGATGGGTCCACACTTCCCCTCCCTCCCGCCCTACGAAGTCACCCCTGTCCTTCCCAAGGGTCACCTCCTCTTCGTTTCCAGATCAGGCCTTGGCCGTCGGTGACTTTTTTACGCCAATTTACAGCGATTTCCTAACAAATACCCATTTGTCTCCCTGTCTCCTCTCTTCCTAGACCATCGATATTCACTTAAAAAAAGATGCTCGGAGAGGAGTTGTCAATAACCAGCAGACAGACTGGTCCTTCAAGCTGGACGGAGTTCTCCACGACGCCTCCCAGGACCTGGTCTACGAGACCGTGGCCAAGGACGTGGTTTCGCAGGCCCTCGACGGCTACAACGGTAACTGGGCGCGTTAGCTGTTTGACTTGCGGGACAGAGCCCTGTGGGGCCCTTCGAGGAGGGGCACGTGTCCCACGGCGAATAAAATACGTCCTCGTCTGCGGCCTTCTGTTTGCTACTTTGTCTGTCTCCACATTCTCGCCCTTGGCTTGGGGACACGCGGGCCTGGCTTGGCCCAGGCCCGGACCCTGCCTGCCTTCACAGGACCGACGCAGCTCTGGGTCGCGTGGGGCTTCACCTTCTGGGCTGCCCTGCGTCGAATTCCTCCCGGACTAGCTTTGGAGACAGTGCCCTCGTGATGCGTTTGGCGGGGCGCGAACGCTGCCGCCTGAGCTACCTGCCGGTGCCGCCATTCCTTCGGTCAGCACGGCCGGCGGTTGGTGCCCTTGTATTGGGCTGTGTGTGAATATCGCGCCCAAGACATGAGCAACGTTTGATTTCTTCACAATTAAAAGCAGCTGCATCAGGAAATTTTTGCAAACTTGCTCAGTGCGAGATTGTTTTGAAATCTTCTTTTCTTTCCCCTTTTAAAGATTTAAAAATCCTTAGCATATATCACAGTTGGTAGGCTTTGCTCACTTGGTGGCTGCTGACTAGGATGTTCCCTGTTTGCAACGTTCAGGCCTGTGGAAAGCCCTGCGCCCCGGCTGAGTGGCCCGGTGGGTTAGAGGGTCATTCCGGTCCAGGACACAGGCCAAGGTGCGGGTCCCTCCCGGTCAGGGCACATCCAAGGAGCGGCCAACGAGTGTGTCAGTCAGTGGAACGGCAACTTGATGTTTCTCTCTCCCTTCCCTTCGCTCTAAAATCAATACGCAAAGATGAACATTTTTAAGAAGGCCCTTGAGCGGAGATGCTCAGACGTTGTAAACACTCCCTGTGGCCACGGCGGGGGTCCTCACTGACCGCGGGGGGTGGCCCTGAGGCGGTAGAGACAGGAAGTCAGGCCCGGGTGCTGTGGGACCACAAGTGGGTCCTGAGTCCCAGCGCACGTGACTCCTTCCTGCTCGTTTGCGTGGGGTCCGTAGACACTCCGTCTGGGTTCCAACGCACATTCTGGATTTAGGCGGTTGGTAAAAATCTGTCCATCCCAGACATGGAGCATCCGTTCGGCAAAGCAGGCTCTGGTTTCCATGGCACCGCCTTGCCTGGTGGGTCTGCCGTGTAAACCCCAGGAGCAGCCTTGGGGACAGGGTCTGGCACCAGCCGCCCAGGAGGAAGAGCAGGTGGGAGCCTGAGCCCGGGGCCCCGTGGAGCCTGGGGCGACCTGGCCTGAAGGACGTGAGAGGTGCAGGTGGCAGTCGTCCCCGAGGGCAGGGGCTCCCGGGCAGGACCTGGCCGGGGTGTCTGCTTCCGGAAGTGGAAGGGGCCTCCTGGCATCCCCGTTCGGTGCTGTGGGAACCTGCAATCTACAAAGAATTCTCACCATTGGCGGGAAATGCCTTTTCTAACCCATCTCTTCCTGGGCATTTCAGCGCCCTTGCCTCCTGCCCGGCCAGCCCCTCAGGGAGGCCTAGCCCTGAGCCCCTGGCAGCGCAGGGCCTTGCTGAAGGAGGGCTGGAGTTCTGCCCTGGCCGGTGCGGACTGAAGGGTCCCGGGTTCGATTCCGGTCAAGGACACAGGCCTGGGTTGCGGGCACAATCTCCAGTGTGGGGCGTGCAGGAGGCAGCTGATCAATGATTCTCTGTCATCATTGATGTTTCTATCTCTCTCTCCCTCTCTCTTCCTCTCTGAAATCAATAAGAATATATTTAAAAGTCTATAATAATAAAAGCATAATATGCTAATTAGACCGGACAGCCGAATGTCGAATGACCTTCCGGACGAAGCCGTGGTTGCACGAATTTCGTGCATCGGGCCTCAAGTAAAAATAAAAATAAAAAATCAGTAGAAAAATCGGGTGAGGATTAACAAAAAAAAAAAAAAAAAAAAAAAAAAAGAAGGGCTGGAGTTCAATCCTTTTCAGCTCTCCTCCTCTTCCTGGGAAAAGCCGCAGCCACTCTGCTCCCTGGGACCCCGCCCCCCCTCCCCGAAGCCCTGGGTCAGATCTCTTGCTGGAGGGAACGGCAGAGCACCTGGTGGACCTCGGATTCAGAGCAGCTGCCTGTGTTTTGAGCATTTATGTTCCCATTTCCCTGCCCGCCCACCCACCCTCCATGGCAGGAAATCCCGGTCTCTGCGTCTCTGCGGGGGCGCCCGATGGCCACCTCCAGGCCGGGTCCTGGCTGGCCCTGGGCATGCGGGGGCGGGGGGTAAGGTTGGGGGAGGGGGAGAGCTATCCTCGGAGCTGTTTCCCTGGAGGTCACCGAGTCGTCCTTTTTGAAATGTTGGCAGGCACCATCATGTGTTATGGGCAGACAGGCGCTGGCAAGACTTACACCATGACGGGGACCACGGAGAACTACAAGCACCGAGGGATCCTGCCCCGGGCCCTGCAGCAGGTAGTGTGTGTGTCGGGGGGGCGGCACACAGGTCCCTGCTCTGCCACAGGTGCTGCCAGCCCCAGGCCAGCTGCTGGAGACGCTGGGGCGACAGGATGCACGGGGGGAGGGGGTGTCCGTGAGTCAGAGGCCTCAGGAAACCAGGAGTCCGGGTTTTGGACCCTGGCCCACGCCCAGGCTGTCTGTTTCCTCATTTGTAAAAGAGGGAGTGGGCCTTGCCGACTGGCTCCTAGCTGCTGCGCTGGTCTGTGGCCTGTGATTGAGGATCTGAGGCCCAAATCGTGGTCCTTCCTGCCTTGAATGAGGGGATAGGGGCCCTGCAGAGCTTCCACCTCCCCAGCCCCGCCCTCCCCCCACAAGCGCCAAGAGAGGGAGCGGAGCTGGCCCGGCTCTGAGGTCTGAGTCCGCCCCCCCAGGGTCTGGGAAGTGGGGAGCGAGATGGAAGGCGGGTTTGAGGACCCTCTGGAGACAGGAGGCAGAGGGCCCCCAGGGCATCCTGAGCTGGTACCTCCCTGTCCTGGAAGAGCGGCAGGTCCCCCTCCGACGTCAGCCATCATGCTCTGCGCTTCGGTGACCCGCTGTCAGAGCCTCCGGGCCTCGGGATCTTAGACGCCAGTAGTGCAGCCAGTGTTGTCCTATAGAAATATAGCGTAAGTCACACGTACAGTTAAAAATATATATATACACACACACACATTTTACTTATTTCAGAGAGGAAGAAAGAGAGAGAGAGAGAAACATCAATGATGAGAGAGAATCATGGGCTGGCTGCCTCCTGCACGCCCCGCACTGGGGATCGAGCCTGCAACCCAGGCCTGTGCCCTTGAGTCCACAGGCTGATGCTCTGCCCACTGAGCCAAACCGGCCAGGCCACATGTGCAATTTTGAGTTTTCCAGAATCACGCTTCAAAAAAGTAACACATGTGAAATTAACTTTTCATAATTTATGTCATTTAACCCAGTATATCCAAAGTATCATTTCTACATGTAATCAATGTGAAACGTGTTGAGACATTTTACATTCTTTTTCTCATATTAAGTTTTTGAAACCTGGTGTTTATTTCAATTTAGACACTAAATATTCTTCAGAAATACTTGTCTGTATGTAGAGGTCATAAAATTCACAGCTGAGAAATAGATTTATAAACCCAAGTTGTTCCGAATATACTTACAGGTTTACTAGTAACTGAATTGAGCCTTGGTTTTGTTTTGGGGGTTTTTTTTGGTTTTTAAAAATATATATATTTTATTGATTTTTTACAGAGAGGAAGGGAGAGAGATAGAGAGTTAGAAACATCGGTCAGCTGCCTCCTGCACACTCCCTACTGAGGATGTGCTGGCAACCAAGGTACATGCCCTTGACCGGAATCGAACCTGGGACCCTTGAGTCCGCAGGCCGACGCTCTATCCACTGAGCCACACCGGTCCGGGCGAGCCTCGCTTTTCAAACGTCCATTTCAGTTCACTGAGATCACATGCGGGTGACAGTGAGTTTCCTCGCTGTCTCTGGCCACACGTGGCGGGTCGGCTGCACCCGTGGCTCGTGGCTCGTGGCTCCCCTGGCAGACAGCACAGGGCGAGGCCGCTAGTGCCAGGGCGGGCCTCCAGGCTCATCTCGCCGGCTCCCATTTGACACATAGGAAACAAAGGCCCAGAGAAGGCGACGCCCGTCCAAAGGCACCGGCTGCCCAGCGCCGAGAAGGCCGAGTCTGGCTTTGCTCCTTCCCTTACGAGCTGAGTGACGAATCCTTTATTGCGAGGAGCTGACCGCGGATGGGTGTCGCCCGGCCCTACGTCAGTCATGGGGGTTACGGGGCGGGAATGAAACCATGGGGTGAAAGAGGCTCATGCCTGGTGAGCCCCGTCAACTCGAGACCTCCACCCAGAGCCCTCCCTGTTCATCACGCCTCTACTCCTGGGGACTGAACGAGGATTAGCCGCTCTGTAAGTCAGGCCTCAGAAACCCCGGTGACAGTGCCGGCCGGGGCGGCTCAGCGGCTGAGCACCGGACCAGGAACCAAGAGGCCACCAGCTCAATTCCCGGGCAGGGCACATGGCCGGGTTGCGGGCTGATCCCCTGGGGAGCGGGCAGGAGGCAGCCGGTCAATGATGTTTATCTCTCTATCCCTCTCCCTTTCTCTCTCTCTAAAAATAAATCAATTAAAATATATTAAAACGAGGTGATAGTAAATATCACCCAGTGGACTATGATTATAGTCATTGTTGCTGATGGTCGTCACACCAACTAGACCGTAAGTCCTTTTAGGAGAAGGGTTTCTGGTCGCACGTCCGGATGCCCCCCGAGGTCCGCCCTCCCAGGGCACCGGCTGCCCCTGCAGAGGTCCGACCGCTGCCCGACCTCCCCCAGGTTTTCAGGATGATCGAGGAGCGCCCCACGCACGCCATCACGGTGCGCGTCTCCTACCTGGAGATCTACAACGAGAGCCTGTTCGACCTTCTGTCCACGCTGCCCTACGTGGGGCCCTCGGCCACGCCCGTGGCCGTCGTGGAAAACCCGCACGGGGTCTTCATCAAGGGCCTGTCGGTCCACCTTGCGAGTCAGGAGGAGGACACCTTCAGCCTCCTCTTCGAGGTGAGGGATTGCTTTCTCCTCCCTCCTTCCCTTTCTTCCTTTCTCTTATTTTTTCCCTCACCCCCTTCTTAGTTTTTTACTTTGATAATCAGGATGAAAATTAAAATGTACTCACTTAGCAATCTCAGCTCCTACTGAAACGTAGGGAGAGCTCTGGCCCCGCGCGCTGAAGGGTCATGGGTTTGATTCCTGGTCAAGGGCACCTATCTGGGTTGTGGGTTCAATTAAAAAGAAATATATATATATATATAAATGGCCCTGGCCAGTGTGGCCCAGTGGAGAGAGCGTTGGCTCGCGGGCTGAAGGGTCAAAGGCATGTACCTCGGTTGCGGGCTCAATCCCTGTGTGGGAGGCAATCAATCGATGTCTCTCTCTCTCTGTGTCTCTCCCGCTCCACTCTCTCTCGAAAATGAAAATATATACATATATACACACATATATGAATAAAAAATTTACTTATTTGTTTTCTACATGTGGCAACAATAATGTATATTTTGGCTTTCCTTCTAGTCTTTTTTTCCTGGGCAGTTTCTTCTTTATGTAGATGAAATTGCCCCCCCTCCCCCCCCAGTTAACATTAAATCATGGGCATTTGTGGTATAGAAAAAAATAAGCATTAATGTCCTTAGTACCTTTTACAAATCAATTAAAAAATTCCATAGTGTATGCTGTTCTTATAAGAGTCATATTGGCTGGAACTCATACATTGCTGGTGACATGTAAAATGGTGAAGCCCTTTTATCCATACGAACTAGCAGTTCCACTCCTAGAAATCTACCCCCCAAAATAAAAGTGTTCACACACACAGAGGCTTTACGCAAGTGTTCCTGGCAGTGTTGTCTGTAACAGCCAAAGACTGGGAATAACCAGGTGCCTGTCAGCGGTGATGAGTAAACAGGTATTACGTCCATACAATGGGAAAGCATTTAGCGATGGCGAATCTCAAACAAAACAAGGCCGGGTGAGCCCGGCCGGGTGGCTCAGTGGTTGAGCATCCACCCATGAATCACAGCTCAGGGCACAGGCCGGGGTTGCAGGCTCGACCCCCAGTAGGGCATGGAGGAGGCAGCCAATCAGCGATTCACTTTCACTCTCATCATTGATGTTTCTACTTCTCTCTCCCTCTCCTTTTCTCTCTGAAATCAATAAAAAATAATAAAAGCACCAATTATTGTTTCCTCCCCCCATTTTTAAAAAATATATTTTTTTGCCCTGACCGGTTTGGCTCAGTGGATAGAGAGTCGGCCTGTGGACTCAAGGGTCCCGGGTTCAATTCCGGTCAAGGGCATGTGCCTTGGTTGCGGGCACATCCCGGTGGGGAGTGTGCAGGAGGCAGCTGATCGATGTTTCTCTCTCATCGGTGTTTCTGGCTCTCTATCCCTCTCCCTTCCTCTTGTAAAAAAATCAATAAAATATATTTTTAAAATATATATATATATTTTAATTGATTTCAGAGAGGAAGGGAGAGGGAGAGAGAAATAGAAACATCAATGATGAGAGAGAATCATAGATCGACTGCCTCCTGCACACCCCGCACTGGGGATCGAGCCCACAACCTGGGCATGCGCCCCGATCGGGAATCGAACCGTGACCTCCTGGTTCATAGGTTGTCACTCAACCACTGAGCCACGCTGGCTGGGATCCCCCCACATTTTTAATAGCAGTACATGTTCCCTGTCAAAAAAATAAGATGGAAGCACAAACCTGTAGAAGAAGAAAAATGACCTATCAGCCCCCAGCCAAGAAGTGACTGTTACGAACATCTTGGTGGCAGCACCTGTATGTTCTTCCTCCCACCGTGCCTTTGCCTGCCTTAGCCTGTGGCCTCACAGAACGTTGTCCTCCATCCTGGTCGCATGCGTTTCCCCTTGACTGACGTGCTGATGTCAAACCATCCTCGCATCCCAGGGGTAAATGCCACGTGGTCGAGGCGTATGATCCTTATAACGTGGTGCCCAAGTCAGTGTGCTCTGACTTTGGCTTCTGCTTCTCTCTGTTACTAAAAACTCTTTGCCAGTATTGTCCACCTGCGCAGCATTTCCCTGTACAGATAGACCATCCCTACCCGTTGGATACGAAGGCCGATTTCGATTCGATATTTGTGAACATTTCGAAGGCACATCAAACTCCCTGCCACTTTGCTTTTTGGAAAGCTATGCAAGTCCATTCACCCCCAGCAGCGGATCTAAGTATAGATCTGGACTCTGACTTGTCTCCCGCTCGACTGGCTCATAAATGCGATCTGCCGGAAGGCCCGCTGCCTGCCGTGAGGAGCACTCACTGTGCAGCTGTCAGTATCGTTCCAACGACTCAAGTGCCTGGTTATTTACATTTTTCAAAATATCATCCACGTTTCCCCTCCTCTTCAGGGAGAAACCAACCGGATCATCGGCTCCCACACGATGAACAAGAACTCGTCCAGGTCCCACTGCATCTTCACCATCTATGTGGAGGTGAGTGCGAGCCCTTTGCACGCCCGGGCGTCGTGGTCCACGCCCTGGGCCTCAGCCAGCAGGTCTCCCCGGGAAGCCTCAGTCTCATCTGTTTGGATGTTTCACAGGCCCGTTCACGGACCTTATCGGATGAAAAGTACATCACTTCCAAAATTAACTTGGTGGATCTAGCAGGCTCGGAACGGCTGGGCAAGTCTGGGGTAAGTGGGTTCCTTCTCAACAAGCCACGGCCTTGTGTCCGGCACAGTGGCCCGAGCACGGCATGGGGGGCGGAGGGGGGGGCGGGTCGGGGGCCGGGGGGCTGTGCCTCATGGGGGCTGCCCCTCGTGGTGAGCACAGTCCCGAAGGAGACACAGTAGAGCAGTGGTTGCCAACCAGTGGTGGTCCCTGAGGCCCGAGAGGTTGGCGACCTGGTCCATGAGGCCCGAGAGGTTGGCGATCTGGTCCATGAGGCCCGAGAGGTTGGCGACGGCTGCAGTAGAGCAGGTGGGCTTGACCCTGCGGAGCTGGAGGGACAGAGGCAGTTCCTCCCCGACAGGCTTTTGTAAAGTTGAAATGAGATCATAGCCTCTAAGTTCTTTTTTTTTTTTAATATATTTTTATTGATTTCAGAGAGGAAGGGAGAGGGAGAGAGAGATAGAAAAATCAATGATGAGAGAGAATCATTGATTGGCTGCCTCCTGCATGTCCCCCATTGGGGATCGAGCCTGCAACCTGGGCATGTGCCCTGGACCAGAATCGAACCCGGGACCTTCAGTCCGCAGGCCAACACTCTATCCACTGAGCCACACCGGCCAGGGTGCAGCCTCTAAATTCTTAACAAGGAGCCTGGCTCTCAGCAAGCGATTAGCTTTTCTCGGTGTGAGTGTGAGCGCTCACAGGAGTGTTTGCATGAGTGTTTCATCTGAAATATTTATATGAATGTGAGTATTGGCATACGCATTCACTAGAGCACACAGCTGCAACTAATATAAAATAATACCAAATGTCAACCATGATTGACAAGTTAAAAAAAAAAAGCTGCTTAGCCTGAGGGTCGTTGGATCTGGTCTCCATTCCAGCTCTATGGTAAGGGAGACTCAGGCTTCGACCCTCTCCGATGGTGGCTTGGATAATAAGCTCTCCCCTACCCAACACTTAGCACAGTGGCCAGCTAGCCAGGTAGTGTGTATTAAAGTCTTTTTTACTCGTGTATATGAAGGAGTATTGTGGTTAGCTGGTTAAAATTCTAATTTGAAACATTGTAAATTAACATATGCAACTTCAAAAGGTATGTTAAAATGTCCAAGTGGAAAAATACATGGAAAAAAAAGTTAACATCAAAAAAAAGCATTCGCCAGTGTATTGGGATGAGCATTCTCTGTGCGTTTGTGTGAGTGTCCCTATTTGTGTAAATATTCGCAGGATTATCTGCTCAAGCGACTGCACAAACACCCACACGTACACGCAGCTGGTGTGGCTTTTCAGTGAGTTCTTACATGAGTGTCCACATGGTGATCACGTTCGCAAGCACCACGGGTGCTGGTGTGAGGGGTCCGCCGCGTGTGGGCGACGTCGGGCCAGGCCTGCTGCGCTCCCGGTGGGGCCGCCTCTCCCTGGGTCTGAAGCAGAACCCACTCTGGTTTGCAGTCCGAGGGCCGAGTCCTGAAGGAAGCCACCTACATCAACAAGTCGCTGTCCTTCCTGGAGCAGGCCATCATCGCCCTCGGGGACCAGAAGCGGGACCACATCCCCTTCCGGCAGTGCAAGCTCACCCACGCCCTCAAGGACTCGCTAGGTGAGGGCCCTCCGGTGCGGGGGGCGGGGGAGGGAGAGGGAGGAGAAAGATCAGGGATGAGAGAGAATCGTGGATCGGCTGCCCCCTGCACGCCCCCCACTGGGGGTGGAGCCTGCAACCTGGCCCTGGGCCCTGACCAGGAATCGAACCTGGGACCCTTCAGTCCCCAGGCTACGCTCTGTCCTCTGAGCCCCACCGGCCAGGGCTGGCCGATCTGCTGCTGTGATCATGGAATGGCCCCTTCCCGGTGGCATGCGCCTCGTGCAGCCTTTTCACAGAACCACACCCAGTGCCTCTCCCTTCACCTGCAGCACCTCACGCTGTTCACTCCCGGAAGCCGGCCTAAGCTCTGGCCTCTCCTGGGAACAGCTCCTCATCCCGCTCACCCCTAAACCCACTGGCAGAGCCTTCGCCACCGCCAAGGCCCAGTGTGGCCTCTCCCAGGACGTCCTTCCTTCCCCCACAGTCTCCCCGACGGGGGTGAGGGCGGTGTCTTGTCAGCCCTGTGTCCCCAGGTTTTGTGTTGGGCCTACTGACACAGTCATTGGTGTCTGGTTATTTTATATATATATATTTTATTGATTTCAGAGAGGAAGGGAGAAGGAGAGATAGAGAAACATCAATGATGAGAGAGAACCATCAATTGGCTTCCTCCTGCATGCCCCCCACTGGGGACTGAACCCACAACCCCGGGCATGTGCCCTTGACTGGAATCAAACCTGGGACCCTTCAGTCCCTGGGCTGATGCTCTATCCACTGAGCCAAACCAGCCAGGGCGGTGTCTGGTGATTAACTGAGTGCGACTATGAGCAAAACCTGCCCCCGCCCCTGCCCCTCCCGGCCTCACGCCATCTCTCCTCGGCTGGTCCCCACCCTCGTGACCTCATCTATACCTAATTATCTCCTCAAAGCCCCGCCTCCAGACACCACCACCTGGGGAGATAGGACTCTCACATGAGATATGGAGGGCACACACGCATTCTGTTCATAACCGGCCCCCCAGCTTCAAAGGAATCCCGGCAGCAAACCCGCACGTTCACGGGCTTGCGTGTCCCGCCTCCCGCAGGGGGAAACTGCAACATGGTCCTGGTGACGAACATCTACGGAGAAGCCGCCCAGCTGGACGAGACGGTGCGTGCGCGGCCGGTGCGCCCGTGGGATCCCGCCACGTGGCTGCAGGGCTGGGGCGGCTGACCCGGCTGGCGCAGCCGGCATGCAGGCCGTACGCATTGCCAGGAGTGGAGGCACCCGGGGGGAGTCTGAGCCAAAATTGCTGAGATGGGTCCGGCCAGGATCCAAATACCGCGGACCAAGGGGCAGAAGCTCTGGGAGGCAGGCTGGGCAGGGGGCCTGTGCCAGGAGAGGAGGCTGAGGGCAAAGGCCACGCTTGCTGGGGCTGCCCCTGGAGCTGGGCCGAGGAGGGCGGGTGCCGCGTTCTCACGGTCGTACATGTGAAAAACCTCGAGGGAACCCGGGTTCCAGGCGTGCTTACTCGGCTGGTACGAACTGACGGGTGTCAGACGTCTGCCGTGTGCAAAGCGGTGGCGGTGGGAGGGGAGCAGCTCGGTAGGGAGGAGCCACACATGGCCTGATGGGGGGTCCCCAGAGGGAGGCGTCTTCCTGGAGCTGGGGTGAGGAAGGCGGGCGCTGCGTGGGCTTGGCAGGGAACGCAGCGGTGTTCCTGGCAGAGGGTTGGTGGCCCTGCCTGGGGGGCTCAAGAAGGAGAGGAGGGAGGAGCTGCAGGGCCTGGCTGAGGCCGAGGCTGGGCCCAGGGGCCGGGGTGTCTGGGCTTTGTAGGAATGGGCTGCGGCTAGAGTTGTCACTCAGGGAGATCCACCCCGCAGGGTCCCAGGCGACCTGGGGAGGGAGAAGGGCGGGAGAGCCGGAGGCTATGGAGGCCGAGCCCACCCCCTGGGTGCCAGCCCCCGCCCCCCCCCCCCCCCCCCCCGCCTTCCTCAGAAGCTTTGGAAAGCTCCCCTTAGACCAGCGGTTCTCAACCTGTGGGTCGCGACCCCTTTGGCGGTCGAATGACCCTTTCACAGGGGTCGCCTAAGACCATCCTGCGTATCAGATATTTACATGACGATTCATAACAGTAGCAACACGACAGTGATGAAGTAGCAACGAAAATGATTCTATGGCTGGGTCACAACATGAGGAACCGTATGTAAAGGGCCAGAAGGCTGAGAACCACGGCTCTGGACTTTTCACTTTTTAAAAAATACTGATTTCAGGGAGGAAGGGAGAAGGAGAGAGAGAGAAACATCAGTGATGAGAGAGAATCATGGACTGGCCGCCTCCTGCACGCCCCGCACTGGGGATGGAGCCTGCAAACCGGGCCTGTGCCCCGACCGGGAATCGAACCAATGACCTCCTGGTTCATAGGTTGACGCTCAACCACTGAGCCACACCGGCCGGGCTAGACATGTCGCTTTTAAAATGTGGATGTTTAGGGCACTTCAGCCCTCGGATAACCCTCGTCGGTCCTGTCCCGGGACACCACAGAGCAGGACCCTCCGCGGGGCCTCCAGCTTCCTGCAGGAGGGGCTGACTGTCCGGCTTCCAGGGAGCCTCCTGCTAAGGGCCTGGACTCGGGAGGCGGGATGGGCGCTCCCTCTGACACCAGGCGGCTTCCCCAGAGGCAGGCGTCAGGGCCTCCTGGTCTCCTGGCTGAACCCCAAGAGGAGCCCCATGAGGCCTCTGCCTCCCTATCCCCCCGAGACGGCCACTGCCCGGGGAGTGGCTCTCCTGGCACCTGCTGCCCCCGAAGCTGTGCCCATGCCGCTGGAGATCTGTGCCCGGAGCCCGAGGAGCGGCCGAGGGGCCTCAGGCTTGGGGACAGGGCGCACTGGGGAGTGGCAGCTGGTGACTCCGTTCCCCAAATGTTTACAACCAGAAGGCGGCTCCTGTCAAGGGCCGTGCTGCTCCTGCGCTGACACGCCCTGGGGGTGACCGCAGGGAGGGCGTGGGCCTGCCCGCCCCTCACGGAGCAGCTCAGCTGTGGGAATGGAGGCCCCTCCGAGGCTCCCTGTGGGCGGTGCTGCCCAGAGCACGCTGCACGCCTCACCTCCGGTCTCCCCGGGACCCCGGGAGGCAGACGTCACAGACCTGCCCGAGGTTGCACAGTGGGTCCGCGGCGGCCGGATTGCTGCCAAGAGGACCCCGTGGCCCTTTCCTGGGCCACTCCCAGGTGACCTGTCCCCCTCCCGTCTCTTCCCGGCCTCAGGGCTCCGAGTCGGCCTCCGTGAGGCTGGGTCTCAGGTGGCCCGGGCACCACTGCTCCTCCCCCCGCAGGGAGCAGCCGGCCGCCTTGTGCCCGCCTGCGTGGTGGGCCGTGTCCGGCCGTGTCCCCAGCACCTGCGTGTGCGGCGGCCGCGCGGCCTCTGCCATCAGTGCCCCCGGCTGGCGGCCCCTCCGAGGGGCTCGGGCCAGACCCTCTTGGTCGCAGGAGACCCCGCAGCCGATGTGGAGCTTGTCTCTAAACGGGTTTGCCATCCTCGGGGAGCCCTTTCCTGTTTTGAAATATCTCCCCTCATAAGGAATTGCCCCCAGTAGCGAGCTCTGTCCCGTTTCAGCTGTCCTCACTGCGGTTCGCGAGCAGGATGAAGCTGGTCACCACCGAGCCTGCCATCAACGAGAAGTACGACGCGGAGGTACTGGGGGCCTGCGGGCAGCTCTCACCGGGGGGCGGGGGGTGCCCAGGTCACACAGGCCTGGCTTCCCTTTCGGCCTCAACCAGAGGTGTAATCCGGGCCAGTCCCTTCCTGTTCCAGGACCGGCCAGCCACAGGGTCCCCGGACACCCCCGTGGGGGCTGCCTCCAGGGGAAAGGGCGAGGTCAGGGGCTTCAGGGCGCCGAGTGCCTGGGGCATCAGCAGGCAAGTCCCTGACTGACAGCTGCGAAGCCAGCTGGGCCATCCTCCCAACCTCACCGGGTGTGTCCCTGTGAACCTCCTCCCTCCCAGCCCAGCAAGCTGGGCTGACCAATCAGAGGGAACACTCAGCATTCCCATGAGTCGGGGGAAATGCAAATTAAAACCCCAGACGAGCAAAAATGAGAATTTTTCTGACTGCAACTTGGTGGTGAGAGGTCCTGAGACAGGGACGCCGCTCTCTTTCCGGTCGGAGAATGGATCCGGCCGCGCTGGAGAGCATCTTGGCAGCATCTCGTAAAGGGAAACACGTGCCCATCACCCGGCTGCGTTTACTGTGCTTACGGAATCCCAGTTACTGCGCACAGGGGCACATGCTCGCCCTGAGCGCCTGCCAAACTCGCTACACTTTCTGGATTCTACATCCTGGCGGCAAACGCCAGGCCCTGTGGCTCGGGGAGGGGGGGAGGGGGGAGGGGGGAGGGCGGGGGGAGGAGGGAACAGCACTTGGAGCTGGCTCTCAGCCTTGAGCGGGCACAGGGCGATGCTGTGGGCTTGCTGGACCACAGGCCCCTGGGCCGGCCCCATGGCTCCTGATGGCGTCAGCCTGGGATGGGGCCCGAGGAGTCTCATTTCTAGGCGTTCCCCATGGCTGCGGCTGCTGCTCTGAGGCCTCACTTTGAGAACCGCTGGCTCAGTGGCTGGGAGCCCAGGCCCCTGTCCCGGGCTGCCCTGGCTCAGCAGCCTGCTCCCTGCATCAGCTGTGTGGCCTCAGCAAGATCGTCTTCTCCCTGAGCTTCAGCTGCTTTATTTGTGAAGCTGGGGAGAAACGGAAGCCACTCTCAGAGACGTGGCCCTGGTCGTGTGGCTCAGTGGACAGAGCGTCGGCCTGCGGACCAAAGGGTCCCGGGTTCGATTCCGGTCAAGGGCATGTACCTTGGTTGCGGGCTCCTCTCTGGCCCAGGCCCTGGTCAAAGCACATGCAGGAGGCAACCAATTGATGTGTTTCTCTCTCATCGATGTTTCTCTCTGTCGTTCCCTCTCTATTCTATTCTCTCTAAAAGTCAATGAAAAATACCCTCAGGTGAGGATTAAAAAAAAAGAAAAAAAAGATGCAAAGAATAACATGAGGCCTGACCGGCATGGCTCAGTGGTTGAGCATTGACCTCTGACCCAGGAGGTCATGGTTCGATTCCCAGCCGGGTTGTAGGCTCGACCCCCAGTGTGGGGTGTACAGGAGGCAGCCAATCAGTGATCCTCTTTTGTCATTCATGTTTCTCTCTCTTTATCCCCCTTTCTTCCTCTCTGAAATCAATCACACACACACCCTATATAATAAAAGCCTAGGTGGTGTCGTGCCCTTGCGTGACGCCCTCACGTGACATCATCACAAGATGGCAGGCAGGGGAGGGCACTTGGGGGCGACCTGGCTGGCAGGGGAGCAGTTAGCTGTCAATCAGGTCGGCAGGGGAGTGGTTAGGCGGCGATCAGGCTGGCAGGCAGAAGCAGTTAGGAGCCAGCAGTCTTGGACTGTGAGAGGGATCCCAGATTGGAGAGGGTGCAGGCCGGGCTGAGGGGGACACACACCCCTGCATGAATTTCATGCACTGGGCCTCTAGTGTGTGTGTGTATATATATACACACACACACACACACTATATATAAGGTGATGGGTAGAAACCTCTTCGCACCGTGCTGTCATGCTGCTGGTGCTCAGGAGATGTTGGCCAGCACTCTGTCACTCCCACGGGTCCCCTGCCAGGTCTACGTAACAGTGTAGACCTCAGGGGTGCGTGTAAAGAGATTTACAGGGGACAGTGCTCTCCCTGCTCCTTGTGAACAGTTGGGGACATGACCAGTCACCTTTCAGGGGGGAGTGGCGACACGTGTTGTGGAGAGAGGGAGCCAGAGCCAGGGCCCGAGTCTGGATCATCTCGGGTGGGGACTGAAGCGGCCCGAACGGACGCATCTGACATCGACTCCAAGTATAAAAACATTCAAAGCGAGACTGACGATCACTCCCGGGTACAGATGCCCCTGGACTGATGACGGGGCGACGTCGGAAACCCGTCTTAAGTTGAAAATATCATGAGTTGAACATGCATTCAACCTACCCAACGTCGTCATTCAGCCTCGCTGGTTTCTGCTGAACCACATCGCTTTGCACCATCACAAAGTAAAACAGAAGTCCAACCATTGTCAGTGGGTGCCATCTGTGTGTGTGTGTGTGTGTGTGTGTGCGCGCGCGCGCGCGCGCTAGTGACAGATGAAAACGAGGCTGGAGGGTCCCCCTGGGGTGTCTGGGGGAATGGACTTGGACTGGGGCACACAGGGACTTCACATTTATCTGAAATGTTTTATTTCTTTACACACACACACACACACACACACACACAGATGCCAGTATGGCAGCATGCTGTTAAATTCAGACTTGGGGTGGTCTAATTACATTTCATGGCATTGTTTTCTATCCTTTTCTGCAGCTTTAAGTTTTTGATTTTTAAAGTTTTTAAAAATTGATTTATAGAAAGAGGGAGAGAGACACTAATTCGTTGTTACACCTTTTGATGCATTTCTGATTGAGTCCCCTCTGTGCCTAACTGGGATCGAACCCACAACCTTGGCGAATCAGGACCAGGCTCCAACCAACTGAGCTGCCTGGCCGGGGCTTTATGTTTTTTACATTTATTTTTCTTGTTCCTTGGAGTTCTAGCTCAGGAGGTCACGTGGCCGCCTGTGAGCCCGGCGGTGGGCGTGTGCCTGCCGGGAGGACCCTCACGCCCTGTGAAGTGACCTCTGTTCTTCCTTTATGAGCCTGAGCGCTGAGAGCCCCGGGGACACCTGCTCCTCTGCCGCCTTTCCCATGAGCCCGGGGCTCCCAGGACCTCCCTCCCCGCTGACACCTGTGTGCGAGGCGGTGGAAGAGCTTCCGGATTTCCCTGGCTGCTGGGCCTGGCTGTGAGGCAGGAGGCTGGGCTCTGGATCCACCTCCGCCAGCAGCTGGGCCTCGGGGTAATCACCGGCGAGTGAGGGAGGTTGGGCTGCTGACCTCCCCGTCCAGCTGCAATTCTGTGAGCCTCGGGCTCGAGCGGACGGCAGACGAGGGTGCTGCGCTCTGCCGAGGAGCCACACCTGCAGGTGTGGGGGGTCGCCACTTTCCAGGGAAGCTTTCCCGGCTGAGAGCTGCCAGCCTGGTGCTGCCCGGTGCGGCCTGGTGCGGCCCGGTGTGGCCCGGTGCTGCCTGGTGCTGCCCGGTGCGGCCCGGTGCGGCCTGGTGCTGCCCGGTGCGGCCTGGTGCTGCCCGGTGCTGCCTGGTGCTGCCCGGTGCGGCCTGGTGTGCGGCCCGGTGCTGCTCTGTGCGGCCCGGTGCTGCCCGGTGCTGTCCGGTGCTGCCTGGTGCTGCCCGGTGCTGCTCGGTGCTGCCTGGTGCAGCCTGGTGCGGCCCGGTGCTGCCTGGTGCTGCCCGGTGCTGCCTGGTGCTGCCCGGTGCTGCCTGGTGCTGCCTGGTGCTGCCCGGTGCTGCCTGGTGCGGCCCAGTGCTGGCTCACACAGAACTCTCGGAGCCATCCTCCGTGCGTGACGGTGAAAGCGCTTGGCCGGCAGGGAATGTGAATCTGTGCTGTGTCCACAGCGTTCATTCCACCAGGAAACACTCTGGTTTCTCGAAGGCAGTTGGCCAGCTGAGTGCTGCCAGGCCATTCCGTGGGGTCTGCCGCTCCAGCCTGCATCCAAGCAGCTTCTCCCTGGTCAGTGGAAGAGGGTGTGTCCTGGAGGCTGGTGACCCCCGGGGCAGATGGCCCATTTCCCCGTGTCACCTGGTTGGCCAGAGGTCACATTGGACAGTCATCCAGTCGGAGACCCCCAGCAGCTCAGCCAGACCCCCCCTCCCCGCTGAGTAAGCCCACCCGAAGGAGCAGTCGCTTCCCAGACGCCAGGTTCTCCACCTCGGGCAGGGGACTGGCCACAGCTGGGTCCCGGATCCCGCTGCCAAGGGCTCCCTCCAGTGGCCATTTTAACAATATATATTTTTATTGATTTCAGAGAAGAAGGGAGGGAGAGAGAGAGACCTCAATGATGAGAGAGAATCATGGATCGGCTGCCTCCTGCACGTTCCCCACTGGGGATCGACCCTGCAACCCGGGCATGTGCCCTTGACCAGAATCGAACCTGGGGCCTTTCAGTCCACAGGCCGACGCTCTACCCACTGGGCAACACCAGCCAGGGCGGGAGTTGGGTTTTGGTGCGGCCCTCAGGGTACCGGTGCTCACTCTGTTCTGAGTCTCCTCTGCCGGGGCTGCCGAGGCCCCTCAAACCCTAAACTCACCCCAGTTGGGGAAAGTCACCCGTGGGGAGGGAATTGCCCAGACGCGGGATCAGTCCACGGAAGGGCCCGTGGGCTGACGGAGGGCAGGGACTAGGCTGACGGGGAGAAGCCGTGGCTTCTCTGACTGCCCGCTCCGCTCCACGATGCTTCCCTGGCAGCGGATGGTCAAGAACCTGGAGAAGGAGCTGGTGCTGCTCAAGCAGGAGCTGGCCATCCACGACAGCCTGGTAAGGGGCCAGGGGGCTGGGGGCAGGCCTGAGTGCATGAGGGCCAGATGGGCAGGGGCCATGTCGTCAGGGAGACTCGGGGAACACAGACTGGGGGGACTAGGGATGCCTGGCGGGAGGGGGTCGGATGGCCAGGAAGCAGAGGCAGGCAGGCGGCAGGAGGACAAGGGGCAGGGGCCGGGGGTCGGCAGGTTGGGGTACGTGGCAGACATGATGGGTCAAGGTCAGGGATGTGGGGCAGGCTGGGGTGTGGAGGGAGCAGCACGGAGCCAGGAGTGCAGGGGCCTGCCTGGGTGATGCTCAGGTCCAGAGGGGCCGGGAGGCGGAGGCCGCACTGCCCTCCCATGCCCTCCTCCTAGAACCCGCCAGCAGACCCCCTCGCTTGGAGTAGAGGCTCGTACCGGGCACCTCCCCTCCCCTCGCTGGCTCGGCTGTCCCTTGCTGACCACAGGCCCCCTCCTCCAGGCCCGATGGTAGAGAGGGTGGGGCTGGCTTGGTGGCCAGGAGGTGCCCAGGCTCCGGTGCTGGTTCTTAGGCTGCCCCTGCCGCCCCCATGGACTCAGCACCGCGAGCTGATGTTCTGCCTCCTCCAAGGCCAACCGCTCCCATGTGAACTACGACCCCATGGATGAGGTCCAGATCGCGGAGATCAACTCCCAGGTGCGGCGGTACCTGGACGGGGCGCTGGACGAGATCGATGTAAGGAGCCTCTCCTCGGGACCCACTCGTGTCCGACCCCAGCGTCCGCTGTGCTGGCCCTGGGACCTCCCCTGAGAGGGTGCAGTGGGCGTGGGGGGGAACCCCGATCTCAGAGTCCCTTCAGCCACCGAGGCCTCAGCTTCCAGGTTCAGGGTGACCAGGCTGTGGGTGCCCCGCCCAGTGGCCAGCAGCCTGAACGTCTAGCACACAGGATGCAATCCATCCCTGGACCAAGCGGGCCTGCAGCCAGGCAGCCCGGTCGCACCCCAGCCACGCGTCTCCTTGCTGCGTGACCTCGGTACCCCGGTCGCCTTGCCTAGTTAGCGGGGAAGGGGCCTGAGCCGGGCTCCTCAGTGCTGCTGCGGAGGTGGAACAGGCCGGTCAAGGACGGTGGCCACGCTGGCTGTCTGCAGGCAGACCCAGGCGGGTGGGCCCAGGAGGGAGGCCGGCCACGCGGAAGGGTCCTCGGGGATGCACCGTTCCCGCAGCGCAGGCGGCCAGCTCTTCACGGGAGCTGCTCCAGACCCACCTCCCCGGCCAGGGCAGCCCCAGACCGACCCCAGTCAAGGGCACTGCTTGTGGGTCAGGGTCCAGAGGGAGGCGGCGGCCTCCAGCCACAGGTGTGGGTGTGTCTGCACCCACAGGAAGGCGCAGAATGGGGCCTCTAGGAAGCGGGGGAGCTGAGGACAGCACGCTTCATAGAATGACTTTCCTGAGTATTTTCAAACTAGAGCCGTTCTGGTTTATGGAGATTCACTTAGAAACGGGTGTCTGTAGCTCAGAAAACATTTGACTTGGAAACGAGTGACCAGGTGCCCCTGTCCTCCGCGGGCTGTGCTGCCTCCGTGCTGAGAGGCGGTTTGCAGACGTCCTGCTCTTGAGGCAGATGGTCCCCGGTCAGCCCAGGCCCTGGCTTCTGCACTGACAGACACAGCCTGGGCCCCGGTGCCAAGGCCTAGCCCTGCCTCGTTCTCTTCTCTCCAGATAATCAACCTCAGACAGATCCAGGAGGTGTTCAACCAGTTCCGGGTGGTTCTGATGTAAGGGGCCCCCCTGCCCACTGACTCCTTCATGGGGAGGGAGGGGTGACTCCGCCTCCAAGCACACCCCCTGCCTCTCCTGGGCGAGTGCATCCTCTGCGGGTGGGGGCTTGGCCGTGGGTGCACCCTGGGGACCCAGGCACAGGTGAGCTGCTCCTGTCAGGTCTGGTTGACTGTGAGGGCCCAGCTCCTTCCCTCGGGGCCACACCCAAACCTCTGCCTGCAGGACGCACCCGCTCTTTCTCACTCTCTCCCCAGCCAACAGGAGCAGGAGGTGGAAGCCGCTTTGCGCCGCAAGTACACCCTCATAGACAAGAACGACTTTGCGGCCATTTCTGCTGTCCAGAAGGTACGCACTCGCGTCCGGTTTCTCTCTCCCAAGACCTTTCCAGAGGCAGCAGGTGTCCTGCCTGGAAGCCCATGGAGGGTGGGAACAGATGGGGTCAGCAGGACGAGTGTGGGGTGACCGAGGCAAGGTCAGCCTCGTGTGGCTCGCAGGGGCCTCCAGAACGGGAGACAAAGCGAATGGTGAACAGGACAGTTCCTGCAGCTGGGCTGGGAAAGGCCTGAGGATCCCAGGGCCTGGGACCAAACGCCAGAGGGGGCCGTGGGGAGGAGACAGGCGCGCTGGGCACGGCCTGAAGCTGGCAGCCGCCGCGTGCTGTGGGCTGCACGTGCCCACCCGAGCCTTCGGCCCACGCACACCTGTGTCCCCGAAAGGCCGGAACAAGCCCGTAGCCTGACCTTTGCCCCCGCGCTGGCCTCTCTCCAGGCAGGGCTGATGGATGCTGACGGCCACCTGGTGGGTGAGTCTGACGGACAAGGCTTTGGACTTGGGGTTGCCTCTTACTCTAGCAAACCTGGGAAGAAAACCAAGTCCAGGAGGACATTGAAAGAGCAGCTCAGGTGAGTGACTGCCCTGCTGCCCTGCCCTCGCACCTGGCCCTCCCGGGCTGGCGGCGGCGGACGCTACCTGTCCCCCTCCCTCTGGTCTCGCTAGTCTGTGGCCACAGTGCGTGTCACTGCTGCCAATACCAGCAACATCTAGGGTCCCCTCACCGCACAGCAGCCCCCCGAGCTGGGAGCTAGTGCCTCCATGTCACAGATGAGGAAACAGGCCCAGGGAGGGGAAGTCACGTCCAAGGTCACACTTCCGCTGAGTCTAGCAGAGTTCAGGCGAGACGCTGGGCTGGCATTTGCCCTCTGCTACTTCATGTCAAACCCCACCTCCCAACAGAGTCCTCTGCGACCAGCTGACGCACTCACACCACCCAAAACCCCATTCACCACTCAGGCCGGACTCCTCTGTGGGTGCAAGGTGGGAGGGGGTCAGGGTTCACGCATTCAGCCCCGCGTGTGCTGTGGAGAGGCAGGCAGGAGCGCAGGTTCTGGAGGGGATGGCTGCACCCACTCACCTCCTCACTCCCCACCTTTCTCATCCCCGGGGCCACCCCCCTTGTGTCAGTGTGAGCCTCTCTGTGCCTCGCTTTCCCATCCCTGAAACGGGAACAACAAGCCCTGCCAGGTTACAGCATCGCTGATACGCTAAGGCCGCAGGTTCGATCCCCGGTCAGGGCACAGCCAAGAATCAGCCAATGAATGTGGAAATGAGTGAGAAACACATTGATGGGGTTTTTTCTTTTCTTCTCTCCCTGGCTCTCCCTCTCTCCCTTCCTCTCTCTCTCTCCCTCTCCCCCCCCCCAAATCAATAAATAAAATTGTTTTAAGAATAAAGTGGAATAGTAATAATAATAACAGCATCGCTGTCGAAGGAGTTGCTGTGAGGATGAGTGAGTGAATGCCGCCCCTTGTTACTGGGACGATCACTCGTGAAAGGCTGTGGCCCAACACTGACTGCAGAGTCGCGTCGCCCCCCCTCCCTTCCCCCGGGTCAGCCCAGGTCCTGGCTTCTCCACTGACAGACACAGCCTGGGCCCCTGGGAGGCACCACGTGGGCTCCCCGTTCTGCCTGGTAATCGGTGCAGTTGCAGGTAGACGAGGCTTCCTCCCCTCCCCCAAAGCCGATGTTGCAAGAAAACGAAGAGGAGGAAGGAGCAGGGGCATCTCCTGTCAGCACAGGCCCTGCTCACGTGGGCCTCTCTGGGCGGAGGACCGGCACCAACACAGGGCTGCAGCCGTGTCCTGGCTGGGTGGGCACCGGTGTGGGTGGAGAGCAGGTCCTGGACTAGTCCACAGGCAGCCCGCCTGGTGGAGGCTCTGCGGGTCCTTCCTTCCCAGAGAGGCCTTGGGACTCGGGGTGGCCCTGAGAGCTGTGGCCCACCCCCCAGGGCCCGGGGCCTCCTGCCCAGACTGCTCCAGGGCGGGTTCCTTTTGCTCATAAAGGGAGGATGGTGCCGTCTCCCCATCTGCGTGGCTTAGGGTCATACTCTGTCCTTGCCCCTGGGCATAGGATCAAGATCAGAGCTGGGTAGGATGGGGCTCCGTGTGGGAGGGCCGAGAAAGGGCACTCGGTCAGCATGGGGGACCCCCCTCCCCAGGCCTGAGCCCTGGGGCTCCACCCTCTCCTTCCAGCTCCCCGGCAAAAAAGGATGGTGGCAGCAGCCCTGTGAGCGGCAAGGATATGGATGTTTCCACATCCAAGACCCAGCTGACCCCACTCTCCAAGGAGGGGGACGTCAAGGACATGATTCTGCGGGACCGGGAGACCTCCAACATCGAGACCCTCCCCTTGGACTCCCCCAAGGAGGAGCCACGCCCACCCAGGTGACCGTCTAACGCGAGCCCCGGCCCAGATCCCCCCAAACCAGAGTGTGATCCTCAGCATGTGGAGTCCCTGCAGAGAGGACCGGGTGACAGGCCCGCCCCGGCGCACAGCCCGGAGGAGGCCGCGCGCGTCACCTGCAGAGGGTCCACGCACGGACTCATTAGACCCTCTGAGCAGCAACCATTTTAGGATTAAATTTACATATTTTTGGAATAAGTAATGACTCAGAAAGCAAAAACTTTTCCAGGTAGTAGACCCCTTCCTCCAGCCACACGGTTCCTCTCCTCCGTGAGCGAGGGAGTGAGCTCTCAGGAACCTGCCCTGAGGAAATAACCAGAGATCTGGACAGAGGTTTATGCAGAAGGTGGCCATTGCGCCAACTGGAAAAGCAAAACCAAACACCTAACCGCTGACACCAGGGAGAGGCTCTGAGGGGATTTTCATCTCCTCCCTGGGGGTGTGCGAGGATGTGCGTGAACACCCCCCCCGCGCCCCCCCCCCCCCCCCCCCCGCGTGACCACGTCCAGACACTCAGAGGAGCTGGAAGAACTATACCGGCCACGCCCTGACTCACAGCTCACCTGTGACTGTGCCCGTCTTTCTCTCCTTCCCTCCGTCCCTCCCCGGCACGGGAGGTGCAGACAAGTCCCTCTCCCCCAGCACTGAATCTCGCCTCTCCTTAACTGGAGTTCTCAGAGGGAGTTTAATAGCGTGAAAGAATGCTTCTGAGGAAAAAAAAAAGATGTAAAATTATTCATGCCGCGTGACCTCCAGCGTTTAAAAACCCCTCAAAGCGATCCTGAAGGAGGTTCAGCAGAGCGAGGTTCGCTTTGGTTTCTGTTGGTTCCGCATCCCCTCGTGCTGCGCCGCGGTCACAGAGGAGGGATTGGTCCCGCCGTCTGGCTCCGTCTGGGGGAGGCGGTGCCCAGGAAGCCGGGCCTTCCTGCTGCCAAGGCCCCAGGGGAGGCAGGTGAAGGACCTGGTGGCCCAAGACAGCTGCCCCTCCTCCCCCCCCATCTTCAGGCCCAGCACCCCACCCTCCAAGCCTGTGGCCTTTGAGGACTTTAAGAACGAGCGAGGTAGTGAGATCAACCGCATCTTCAAAGAGAACAAGTCCATCTTGAACGAGCGGAGGAAAAGGGCCAGTGAGACCACGCAGCGCATCAACGCCATCAAGAGGGAGATCGACGTCACCAAGGAGGGGCTGAGTGCCCAGAAGTCCCTGCGGGAGAAGCAAGGTGACGCGGCGGGAAGGTGGCTGGGCCTGTGCGGTCGGAGTCACGCTGCTCCGAGCGGGGGCAGCCTTGGGAGCCGGCTTCCCAGGTGGAGGGGGGCTGGTGACCCCGTCAGGTCCCTGGGTCTGATGGCGGTGGGGTGCTGGCTAAGAGGAAATCGAGGAGCAATGAGAAGGGGCCGAGCAGAGGGCCAAGGATTCACTGTCACGGAGACATTCCTCGCGCAACCCCCGCACCGTCCTGGCTTGGCAAGGACCCGTCTCCTAAGGCAGGTAGTGAGGGGCCATCAGGCTCAGAGAGCAGGGCCCCCCACGTGGGCACCCTGACCTGGCGCCCTGGTCCCACCGGTAGACACTGCCCACGCCCGCCCCCAGCCGCACGCTTGTGTGCTGCAGGCAGTGGACAGCCAGGTGAGCGGCTGACAGACACGTTATTTTCCCTTAACCCATCGATCCTCAAGGAGCTGACGGAGCTCCAGGTCCGTCCAGAGAGGCTGCGTGGAGCAGATGCTAAGAGCACAGCTGACTCCTCTCGCGGAGCCTCTGACAGCCACTCGATAGGGTCAGACGTCCCATCGTCTCTAACAAGGAGGCAGCTGATGAATCTCCAGCCACCAGGAGACCATCTGGAACGTGGGCTCCCACGGCCGGAGGGCAGTGCGTGGAGGCGCAGGCTGTGGTTGCAGGCCCAGCACCGGTGGCCGCCGGCCGCCCGCCAAGCGCAGGAGGCAGTGTAGCGAGGCCAGGGCGAGCCCATGGGACATCAGCGGGACTGGCGCCGGAGGCCCCTAAACTTCGTCTGCTGAAGAGTCAGGCCCGGATTCTGTGCGGGAAGGGCACCCACCCCCAGAGGCAGCTGCTGCCCATCCAGCTGAGCCTAAGGATTTCAGTGATTAGTCGCACAATAAATGTCATGTTTGTTGTTGTTTTAAACAAAAAACCAAAAAATGTAAACATCCATATATTGAGATGCTACTGAGTATTTTTTAAAACATTTTTTCCCATATATTTTATTGATTTTTTACAGAGAGGAAGGGAGAGAGAGAGTTAGAAACATCGATGAGAGAGAAACATTGACCAGCCGCCTCCTGCACGCCCCCCACTGGGGATGTACCCACAACCAAGGTACATGCCCTTGACCGGAATCGAACCTGGGACCCTTCAGTCTGCAGGCCGACGCTCTATCCACTGAGCCACACCGGTCAGGGCCTGAGTATTTTTGATTGATGGGGTTTAAGATCACGGTGTGTGGCACATGGGTCATTCCTACCCGCTTCCCTGCGACCCTCCTGTTTGTCCTGGACATGCCAAGTGGCCCTGCTCTGAGCTCCCTCTCCCCATGGGCTGTGTCCTGGCAGTGGGCCTCCCAGTGCCGTGCCCACCGCACGCAGTGCCCAGCCTTCCCTGGTCTCCTGTCTTGTGCTTGGCCAGCTCTCCCCTCTCTCTGGACCACCTGCCTCCCTCCCTCAGCACAGGTGGCACCTCACCCTGACTTCCTCCCTCCTTACAGGTGAGTATGAGAAGAAGGGGCTGATAATCATCGATGAGGAGGAGTTCCTGCTGATCCTGAAGCTCAAAGACCTCAAGAAGCAGTACCGTGCGGAGTACCAGGACCTTCGTGACCTGAGGGCCGAGATCCAGTACTGCCAGCACCTGGTGGACCAGTGTCGCCACCGCCTGCTCACAGGTGTGCGGTCTGGGAAGGGTGGCGGCCGTCGGAGTTCCGGGACCTGCAGACCTGGGTTCTAGAAGCAGCATCTAAGCTTCTCTCTGGCCCAGCTGGTGTGACTCAGTGGTTGAGCAGGGACCCATGAACTAGGAGGTCACGGTTGGATTCCCAGTCGGAGCACATGCCTGGGTTGTGGGCTCGATCCCCAGTGGGGGGCGTGCAGGAGGCAGCCGATCCATGATTCTCATCATGGATGTTTCTCTCTCTCTCCCTTCCTCTCTGAAACCAATAACATATCTATTTAAAAATAAATAAAAACAAACCATGGATCTTAGAAAAGAAGAAGCTTCTCTCTGGCAGAGGCAGGGGTAGGACAGGGCCTTCAGATGTTTGTTTATAGGATTTGGGGGCAGGAGACAGAGATGGGCGAGGGAGACCGTGGAGCAGGAAGTGGCAGGGTGAGCCTCTGATGAGCACACAGCCTTTGCCTGCAGCCTCAGTGCTGGCCCCCTCCTCCGCGCAGAATTTGAAATCTGGTACAATGAGTCCTTCTTCATCCCCGAGGACATGCAGGCGGCCCTGAAGCCAGGCAGCAGCATCCGGCCAGGCATGGTGCCTGTCAGCAGGATTGTGTCTCTGGTGAGTGGCCCCCGTCGGGGGTGGGTGAGGGGAGTGGGCAGTGGGCAGTGCCTCTGGTGCTTTGCCCTTTTCTCCCCACAAACGTGGCATGTGTGGGCTGCTCCCAGCCGCTCCCCCGGCTGCCCAGGCAGGTGGGAAGCCACAGGTCTCTACCCAGTGACCGAGGGTGGGCACACAGATGAAACCCCTTGCTGTGGCCACCCTTTCGGGTGGCTCGTCCTGCCCAGGGGGCAGTTACAGGGCATCTGTGATGACGCTGGCAGACAGGGCCTGAGCGTGTGAGCTGCCGCAGGGGGGGATTTGCCAGCCCAGCCAGGGGCTGCCCTCATGCCCACCACGGGCCCTGGCAGGGCGCATCCTGACCATGCCAGGCTGGAGGACAACCTTGAGTTGGGCCCCCAGGGAGAAGACGACCAGGACAAGTTCAGCCAGCTGCAGCAGGACATGCTGCCCGAGGGCCCGGAGTCCATCTCCTTCTACAACGCCAAGGTCAAGAGAGAACAGAAGGTAACTCGGCTCATGGCTCCGGGAGGCGGGGCCTCGGACCCCGTCACTAGCACCCCCTCCCCCCCAGGATCACACTCCCCACTGCAGAGGCCGGGAGGAGCAGCCAGCTTGGGAGCCAGTCACCCAGAGGCAGCGGGTGTCTCCCCGGCTGGAGTCCCGGGCCACCCAGTGAAGTCCCACAGGCTGTGGCCAGGCCTGGACACGGCTGTGAGCACTGACCATCCTGTGAATCACCCCTCTGCCCGGTGCATCCGTGCTGGATGCGCTCCCTACACTCCCCACCCGTTAGTCACCGAGTGGCCATCTCCACCATCAGACGGTCGTGGTGCCGCAGTGCGGGTGCCCGGCACCCTCTTACGTGGTGATGGCCCCCGAGAGTAAGAGGAGCCTCTAAGTCCAGGATGCACCTTAGTGTGCGCGCGCACATGTATGTGTGTGCACGCGCACGTGTGTATGTGTGTGCGTGCGCGTGCGTGTATGTGTGTGCGTGTGTATGTGTGCGCATACGTCCTTGCTGGCAGGAGGAATGACGGGGATGCAGGTGGGTGGCTTCTGAGCCCTAACCAATCCCTCCTTCCCTTCTCCGCGTCCAGCACAGCTACTTGAAATCCATGCTGGGCCTCCCGAAGGCACAGAGGAAGTAGGGGCTCCTCGCAGCGCCCCCTGCCTGCTCCAGGGGAGCTGCCCACCACCCGCCCGGTCCGGCCAGTCGGCTCCAGGCTGGCCCAGCCCAGAGGACACGCAGCGGCCGGCCTGCCAGGAGGGACATCCCCCAGAGGGGGCTCATCTTCACAGGACGCCTCTGGTTTCGATTCACTGTCTCATATGCAGGGACCAGATAAAACGGCTGATCGTCTGGAGCGTGTGCTTATTTCCGTCGGGAGGCTGTCCTGCCTGTACAGGTGGAGCGAGTAGCAGAGCTGGGCTCCGTGGCAGCCTCTCCTTTCCTGCAGGGACACCCGGGGTCGCGGTGGCCGGAGGCGCTGCTCTCAGCCTCTGAGCAGGGCACCCTCTCTGCAGCCGAGCCATGAGGCAGAGGCCCTCCCCCTCCGCAGCCAGAGAGGACGGGCAGGTAGAAATGGCTGCAAGGAACGTTCCATCTCAAAATAACAAGAGCCTGAGTGAGAGCAGCCCTGCCATGAAGTCAGCAGCAGAGCCCTGCAGGGAGGCTGAGCTGGAGGCAGCTGTCCCACCCAGGACCAGGATTCTGTTGGAGCCATCGAGGAAGGCTCCACCCTGGAAGAGGAGAGCGTGAGTTCCCACCGGCCTGGAGAAATAGCCAGGAAACTCCCCAGGGACGAGGCGCACAGATCCTGTGAGGATTTGTAACCACGCACAGGTTTGGGATTCAAATTTACACTGTGCGGTCCAGGAACCACCAGGCCGAGGAATTAGTATAAAAGTTAGCCCAAGGCTGAAACAGCTAACAGAACCAGAAAAACTGCCGTACGTGCCTTTTCCCAGCAATACAGCATCCCCACAAGCCCTAGTACACATGAGCTCCCAAGAGTAAAGGCGCGCACACACGCAGGCACACATATGTGCATATGCACACACGTGTACAGAAACAACCTCGCACGGAGGCATAATGTCAGCAGGATCAGACTTAGAGGAACTTCCGATAACAAGTTACTGGTGCCCCGGCCAGTGTGGCTCAGTTGGTTGAACGTTGTCCCATGCATCAAGGGATCACCGGTTTGATTTCCAGTCGTGGCACATGCCTGGCTGTGGGCTTCATCCCCAGTGGGGGCACGTGGGAGGCAGCTGACCCATGTTTCTCTCTCCCTCTCCCATGATCAAGGTAGGACAGAGAGCTCTGGGCGGCACTCCTTGTCCCGTCTTTACTCTGAAGGGCTGACTGCTCTGTTGCTGTGTCCTCTGCCCCTGCCTGGAGGTTCCGATCCACTTGCCCGTCGCCCGCGGAGCCCAGAAACTCTCATCTGAACTCGACCGTCTGAGGCCACAGGACACGGGGGAGCACAGGTGCAGGCGAGACTTCCTTTACATCAGGACCGTGTCACACTGCGTGGGACCTGGACGAGCGGTGCAATTCCCTGCCTTCCTTTCCCCTGGGGAAGCAATGTCACTCCTGGGCGCTGTGGAATGGAGTGATGTATGCCAGGGTACACCGGAGACCGCGCGACAGTGACAGTAACTGATAAAGGTGTCAGTGTGCCCAACATTATATGACAGGTGGTGAGCTGACAGACATAGACACACACCCAACCAAGGTGGATTCTGGATGTGAAAAGGCAGCATGCAGACTGGCATTATCTTTCTCCAACCCATCCTGACTGATGGCTTCTTAAGACCAATCAGATTTGACAGAAGTAGCTACTAAAAGGATACCCAGTGCCACCGGGCAGCGTCACTGGAGGTCAAGGGTCTTGGTTAAGAAAGTACTTGCCCTTCATGTGGGGGCTGGAGGCAGTGTTCTTAGTGGACAAACGGCCAGGGGAGTGGGACTGGCATCACAGGAGGCTCTGAAAACTCTGTCAGGTAAGGGATAATCGGAAAGTAGGGACATTCTGAGAAGATCCAAACAGGGCACATTTTCTGTCCTTTTGGGAGGAAAAACGACAGGAGTTGTCTGCCCTGGAATGGATGGCCTTGCTGCAGACTGGGCTCCCGACCCCTGGCGGAGGAGAGCATTGCCTGGGCGGCCCCGGCCCGGCCCCGGCCCCGGCGAGAGAACCCGGGAGGAAGGTCACGGGGCCTCTGGCTCCTCCCAAATCTAAATCCCTGGCTCCATAACCACTTGTGGAGAAGCTGTCTAACATATCAGTTGAAAATTACATCCCATACACAGATTTTCACACACCGTTTTCTCTATCAAATATGAAATTGCCTTTATTAATAAAAATATCACTTAGTTTAGAAAGAATATTTTTATTAAGAAAAACAACCTATCTATGAGCAAATGACATTTCTACCAGCTTAGATTTCCAACAACAGGGAGTAGCACCCATTTGCAGCAATATATCCCCAAAGGCCACCAGGAAAAAGGGGGGTCTCGCATGAGGGAAGGGCTCCCCTCAAGAACCAGCCGCGATTTGTGATTCAGTAACTACTATAACGGCTTGGCGGAAACGGATCTTGAACCCTGTTACAAGTCCATGGGTGGAGAATCTGCTCTGTCCAGAAAAAAGCTGGCAAAGGCATTTGGAAGGTGAAGTTGAGTGTGTGGAGTAGACGACATTGTTCTTAGGTTTGGGGATGATGGCCAGGCTGGAAGGAACCTCTGCTGTAGGGCTGTGCCCTGCCTCTGCCTGTGGAAGGGGAGGGGCGGAAGGAGGGGCCCTGAGGCTCCCAGCTGCTGAGCGCGGAGCGAACACGACTGTGTATGTGGCCGGCGACGTGAACGAGGAACACAGGAGGGAGGGCTCCATACAAGGCCACGCGCCACCACGCAGTCTGTGGCCTGGGTGCCCTCACTGCCCTGAGGCTCAGTCTCTCGTCTGTGCAATGGGGCAGCAGCTGCTGTGACCTCGCCCATGTGAACTGCTGAAGATCACGTCTGCGAAAACGGCAGTTCCCAAGGCCGCCTGCAAACACCCGAGACCATCCCAGTTCCCTCCGGAAGTCATGAGGCAAGCATCTCCTCTTTGGTTAGAGCCACAGAAACGAGAGTTCTGACAGCGCGTCAAGCATTAGAAAGTTCCAGTGCTTCTATTTCTTACATCTTTTCGTCTAAATTAGTTACCGTCGGTTTAATATTTGCAAAGATGCACCATCGGCTCCCGTTACCGCGTGTGGCTCCATCCAGTGCGACTGAACAGCTCCAGGAGCAGAAGATGGAAAAGCCCCTTGGTGGCCAGCAGCCCGGGATCCGGGGCCTGTGATTCTAGGTCAGTTCTCCCTGCACCTCCTCCCACACACAGTAGGCCAAGAACTCAAGGGCAAAGGGGACAGATTATTACCCTGAACCTTATAGGATCAGGCTCTGAATAAATTGAAAAAAGAAACAGAAAAATCGGGTGTTATGTACAAGCAAAAAAGTCCAATAAAGAAAAAGGGGGGGGGCGTGTTTGAGTTCTGACACAGCTGCTCCCATCCTGGCGGGACATTGGTCACCTGGGTGCTTCTATGCGATTCCGGTGCCGAGGCCACATCCTGGACCAGTTACATCAGAGCCTCGATCCCTGAAGCCCCAAGTGAGTCTAGTGAGCAGAGTGAGTTGTGGTAGAAAAAAAACCTGGACATTTGTTTTTCGTCTTTGGTATGTTTTTGTTTACCTGATTAATATGGTGATAAATTGCTGATTAACCTTAATTAGCAACGATTTAATACCACATACTATCCTGGCAATAAGCAAAGAAGCTTCTCTACTGATTAACTTTCCATTCACAAATTTCCATGGTTTTTAATACCCTTTATAATAAAGAGGGAATATGCTAATTACCCTCATGCCATCACAAAGATGGTGGCGCCCACAGCCAATAAGAGGGAATATGCTAATTGACTGCCCCGCCCTCAAAGATGGCGGCACCCAGTCCTCTCAGCCCCCCTGGGGCGCCTGTCTCCGGAGTCCCCCAGTCCCCCCAACCCCCCAGGGCTGCCTGAGGCTTGTGCTGCCGGCAGTGGCAGCAGCAGAGGTGTGATGGGGCGTTGCCTCCCGCCCCTGAGGGCTCCGGGACTGTGAGAGGGGCAGGCCGGGCTGAGGGAGCCCCCCTCCAGTGCGTGAACTTTCATGCACCGGGCCTCTGGTGTGTGTGTGTGTGTGTGTGTGTGTATTATTGATTGCAGAGAGAAAGGGAGAGGGAGAGAAACATCAATGATGAGAGGGAATCATTGATCGGCTGCTTCCTGTACGCTGCCCCCTAATGGGGACCGAGCCCACAACCCAGGCTTGTGCCCTTGACTGGAATCGAACCCGGGACCCTTCAGTCCGCAGGCCAACGCCCTATCCACTGAGCCACACCAGCCAGGGCTCTATGGTTTCTGATTATAAAACTCTGAACACTCAAGGGTAACACCTGTGTACTTGTTATGTTTTACCCGCTCCCCAGTCAGAATTGGGAGACACAGCAATAGGCACTCAATAAACATTTAAATAAATGGGTGTGGTGAATGGATGGCAGGTGGCTGGATGGGAATGGATCAGGGATTCTCAACTTGGGCACTGAAGGCATTTTAAGCTGGATAATTCTTTGTTGTGGGGCTGTCCTGTGTTGTAGGCTGCTGAGCAGCCTTTCTGGCCTTTATCCACTAGGTGACAGCAGCATCAACCACTTATGACAAGAGATGTCTCCAGGCATTTCCCATTATTCCCTGGGGGCAAAATTGCCCCTGGTTACAAACCACAGGGGTAGATTAATGAATGGGGAGGTGACTGGATTGGTGGATGGATGGATGGATGGGTGGATGTTTGGATAGAAGGATGAATGGATGGTTGAGTGGATGGGTAAGTGGTGAATGGATGGACAGATGGGTAGTTAGATGGGGTAGATTAATGTGAGTAGATGGGTGGACAGTGGATGGAAGGACTGATGAGTGGCTGGTGGACAAAGTGATATGTGGATAGATGGATGGACAGAATTATCAGGTCTCATAAATCTAACTAAATGTCTTTGTTCCTAAGGTTTTTACTTTGAGGACATTCTTTGCTCTTTGTCTATACAATAGCATAGCACAGAGAGTAAATATTTGACACAAATTGGAAGGATAGTTGGAAGGATACAGAAGGGCTAAATTTGAAATTTCAGACACATCATTCTTTAAGGTAAAACTGAATTCTAAAGTCTGATGCAGGAAAAAGTAAAATAGTAAATAACTGACACAAAATAAAACTTGTTGCTGACTGAAAATTGACAAAAGAATCAAATCTTCATCATGACATTAAGATGGAAAAATGTAACCTGAGAAAATTGGCTTTAAGAGGTAAAGACAGACCACAAAATAAAACTCACATTGACAAAAGCTATAAGCAAACACATTTGATACAAAGATTTTTCAAAGATTCGAGTGTTTTCTAAACAATATGTACTAGTAAAAATAAACTCAAAAGAATATTTTTGTTCTTTTTTAAAATTTTTCTAAATATATTTAAAATGAAAAAACGAATAACTTTAGTGATAATGTGTAGAAAAATTATGGATTAAATAGGCTTAAAGGAGCATATTTTCATTAAAAAATTTTTTAAATGCATTTTTTGTTGATTTCAGAGAGGAAGGGAGGGGGAGAGATAGAAACATCAATGAGAGAATCATTGATTGGCTGCCTCCTACATGCCCCACACCGGGGATCGAGCCTGCAACTGGTGCATGTGCCCTGACCGAGAATCAAACCAGTAACTTGTTGGTTCATGGGTTGATGCTCAACCACTGAGCCACACCAGCTGGGCTTTAGTAACTTTCATTTATTTTTTAAAAAACATTTTTATTGATTTCAGAGAGGAAGGGAGAGGGAGAGAGACAGAAACATCAATGATGAGTCCTCACTGATTTGGCTCAGTGGACAGAGCCTGAGCCTACACGGAAGGGTCCTGGGTTCAATTCCAGTCAAGGGTCAATGTCTGGGTTGTGGGCTTGATCCCCAGTGGGGGATGAGCAAGAGGCAGCTGATCACTGGTTCTCTCTCATCATTGATGTTTCTCTCTCTTTCCCTCCCCCTTCCTCTCTGAAATGAATAAAAAAATATTTTAAAGAAACAACCCTAATCCCCTTCCAAGGCCCCACCTCCGACCACCAGCCCCAGGGCTTGGGGCTTTAACGCAGGAGTCGGCGGGCCAGGCGCAGCTCCCACCTCCACCTCCTTGTCTGCTGGTAAAACCCGACTCCACATTTCAGTGGAAAAAAGGAAACCCACCCGAAAGTCCATCCCACGAACTCCATTCCCACGGCCACGGACTCCCCACGCCCGAGGGGAGCTGCGCTGTGCGCTCCGGCCCCTCCTCCGGACAAAGCCCGCGGCCGTCGGAGCAGAAAAGTGAGCAACTACTTTCATTTTGTAAGGATGTGTCCGCTGAGGCCTCCGAACCCCGAGACCCGAGCTGCGGGCTGCAGATTTGGGGTGCGGGCAGGGGGTGCCCGGCGGCGGCAGGAGGAAGGGGATGGGGACAGAGGGGCGGGGGTGCGGGCAGAGGGCGCCCGGCGGGGGCAGGGGGTCCGGGGTGCGGGCAGGGGGTCGGGGGCGCCCGGCGGGGGCAGGGGGTCGGGGGTGCGGGCAGGGGGTCAGGGTGGGGTCAGGGGGCAGGGAGTGCCCGGCGGGGGCAGGGGGTCGGGGGTGCGGGCAGGGGGTCGGAGTTGTGGGCAGGGGGTGGGGGCAGGGGGACCCGGCCGGGGCAGGAGAAAGGGGGAGGGGCGGGGGCAGGAGGAAGGGGAGGGGGGCAGGAAGAAGGCGGAGGGCGGGGCAGGGGGGCGGGGGCGGGGTCAGGGGGCGCCCGGGGGTCGGCGTGGGGCGCACCCCCGGTTGGCGCCAGCTCTGCCCTCGCCGGGGCCGAGATGCAGCGGCGGGGAGCGGCCGCGGGGCGGAGAACCGACGGTGAGGTGCGCGGGGGGCGCGGCGGGCATCACCCGGGCCGGGAGGCCTCGGCGCCGCGGGCTCGGGTGCCCGGGGCTCCGGGAGGTGCAAGTCTTGGCGGTGCGGGGCCCGCGCTGGTGCCCAGGCGGGTTCGGGCCGTTCTCCCGGCGCCGTCGGCTGGGCCCGCCTCGCAGGGCCCGGCGCTGTGGTTCCGGAAGCCGCCGGGTCCGGCCGGCGCTGTGGTCCCGGAAGCCGCCGGGTCCGGCCGGCGCTGTGGTCCCGGAAGCGCGCCTGCGCCGCGGGTCCGGGCTGCGGCCGGGCGGTGCGTCCCCTTTAAGGGGCCGGGCCTGCGGAGGGCGGGCGGCGGCGGCGCCGAGGGGAGCGGGCGCGGGCGGAGGGCCTGAGGGAGGAGGAGGGAGCGCGCAGCGCCTCGGCCGCCCCTGCCGCCGCCGCGGTCGGACCCGCGGCCTCCGCCCTCCCCCTCGCGTCGCCCGCCGGGGAGGGGGCGCGCGTCGTCGCCGCTGGGGAAGCCGCCGCCGCCGCGGCCGCCTGCGAAGATGGGCGATTTCTACGACCCCGAGCACCCGACCCCCGAGTAAGTACCAGCTCCCGCCGCCCGCGCCGCCGCCTCCGCCCGAGCCCGGCCGGCGCGCGGGGTAACGGGCCGGCGGGGACGCGCGCGGGCGGCGTGGGGACAGGCCCGCGCCGCCGCCTCGCCTGGGCCGGGCCGCCACGGGCCGGCGGTTGGGCCGGGCCGGTGGGGGAGGGGCGGCCCCGGCCGCCGCCGTCGCGTCCGCACCGACCGACCGGCCGGCCCGCGGCTCCCCTGACGCCCCTGGCTCCCCGCCGGCCGCGCTGCAGGCCCGGGGGCCGAGGCGGGGCAGCTGCCGGCTCCCGGCGCGGCGAGAGGGCCCCGGCGCGGGTAGGCCGCGAATCCCCGGGCTCGGGTGGCAGCCCGCCCCGCTCCCGGCCTCCTGGCCCCGGCGGCTGGGACCGGAAGGGCCTGGCGCGCGTCGCTGGGCTCGGGGCCTTGGAGGGGCCCGCGCGGCGCGCCCGGGTGGGGTCTCTCCGCCGGGACCGGGCCCGGCCCGCGTCGGCTCCTCGGCGCTGGGGTCTCCTTCCTGGTGGCGAGGCCTCCGCCGCCCGACGGCGCGGTGACACCAGGGCCGCTTTTCCGCCCGAAAGTGAAAGCCCGCGGAGGGGCCCCCGGGGTCGCCCCGGCTCCCGGCCCTGCGCTCTCGGCGGGACCCCGGAACCTCGCCCTGAAGGGGTGACTCGCTCCCCGAGACTCGCGTGGGAGCCGGGCGTCCCTGCCGGCCGCTCTGGGGGCCGGGGCCGTGCGGCCGGTGTGTGTTGTCTGCAGCCCGGGGCGGCCCTGCACGGGCCCGGCCGTGTCTGCCCCCCGCGGGCGCCGTGCACCTCGGGGCGCCCCCTCAGCCTGGACTCGCTGCCCGCGGAGACTATTGTTTTGCAAAGCGGTTCTTCTGCAACTGCTCGCTGGTGCCGGGAAGCTAGACCGGCCCCGCGAAGGGGTTTCCCACGAAACTGTTACTTTTAGGCCAGAAGGGCACCCACAGGTCCCTCTTTGGACACTTTTTACCTTAGTTCTCCCCTGGCTTTTCCCTTCCTTTTTCCTTTGCAGCTCTTCCCCAGATCTCTTCCCCTTGGTCCAGAGCTGCCTGGATCTTAGCAGTCGTTAGTTTCCAGGCCGACACCGCGGGGTTGGTTCTGTTGGGGGTGCTGATGGGCAGCTCCGCACAAAAGGAGGAAGGGCTGTCCGGCCCGCTGCAGAGGGACCCGGCTCTTTATGTGCCCTGCGCGGTGACAACGTGGCTTCCCTCCTCGCCCGGGTTGTTGCTTCTAGGTTAACAGTATCCTAATTAGGTTGTTTTGATTCACTGCACAGTCATTGGTGGCATTACAAAGCTCATGCTACTGGCTTTTGGTTTGGGGCTTGGAAAACCAAAAGAACAGACATTGTGACCCAGCGAAGCTCCGGCTGCTCACCTGTGCGGTGCAGGATAGCGCGGCAGGCCTGGGACGATGCGTGCCTGCTTCCAGCTCCTTTCCAGGTTGTTTAGTTATGAAAACGTAATTTTTCATACCCTGTGGAAAAATAGACCCAAATGCATCTTGATAGACGTGAGTGGAGAGGAATCGAGACTTTTTGTTGTTTTACATAAGGTCTTACAGTTTTTTCGCTGCTTTTCTGTTCCCGCTGCTTTGGATTGCTAACAGGGACGAAGTAAGTTGTGAAGTGTGTGCGTGCGGACCTGCCTGGACTGTAAAAGGGTTATGAAGTGTTTTCTATTACGAGAACTGGAGGGGCTCTCGATAGGCATCCCGAACGTCACCCCTGTTTTACAGACGCAGAGACCGAAGCCTAGAGAAGCGAAGTGACAGTAAACCCTAAGAGGTGGAATGTGCCGGCCGGAGAGGAGCAGCATAGTGCAGGGGGAAAGAAATAGGGCTTCCGAGGCAGACTGGGTTTGAGCGCTAGGTGAGCCTTGGACAAGTGACCTCACCTCTGAGTGGGAGTTCTCATCTGAAACAGGTGTGTGAAGGTAGCACCTCATAGGCTTTGGGAGGATGGGATGAGCATCGTGTGAAAAGCGCTCGGCACAGAGTGGCACGTGCACTGCTTCTGGCTGGGTCGTCAGGAAGAACGGGAGTGAGGAGTTTACGTCCAGCGTGATGAGATGAGGTGGCAGGAGAGGCGGTGACAGGCTGGGGGAAGGAGTGACCGCGGGCTCCTGTTAGATTTTTGTTTGAAATGGTTCTTAGATACATGAAGAAATTGAGGCACGAAACACGTAAAATCGGTGTGAAGTAACAGTTGGAACCTGATGTTCTGTATTTGTCTTGTGCTCGCTCTTGAATCAGGCACAGCTGCCAGAGGCTTTTCCCGTGGCCTAAGGGCCCTGTGTCAGGTGAAAGCGGCTGTAAGCACCTGCGGGTCTGTGCTTTTCGGTGGCTGCTGCTGGGCAGGCCCAGGCCCAGGTGTTGAGGACACTGCACCTTAGAGCTGGTCAGGCTCCAAGGGACTCTTCTAGAGACAGGCAAGTCCTTTGCAGTGATAGAGATGCTCTTCTTCAAACAGAACATGTCTATTTTGTGCCAAACACAGGTGTACTATGGGGCGTACAAAACAAACTTTTGCCCCCGTGGGCACCTGCAAATGAGGGATGGCAAACAGTAAATAATACAGAATGTTCAAAGGTAAATGCTTTGAAAAATGCAGCAAGGGGGATCCAGAATTTCTGGGGAAGATGTTGTAGTTTAAAATGAGGTGACCGGGTGAGCCTTAAGGGGCGGGAGGTGGCCATGGTACTACCTGGTGGGAAGGCGCTCCAAGTAGAGGGAAGAAGGAGCTCCCAGCACTGAGGCGGAGCTCTGGTGAGTCCTGCCAGTGTGGCTAGGATGGAACCAACAGGAAGGAAGAGTGGGTTGGGTTGGGGGGGGGGGGCACATTTCACAGGTCTCCACAGAGACCTGTGAAGCTGCTACAAGGACTCTTCCCTGAGCTCTCACAGGTGTGAGCCGAAGGCTCTCGATGTGCCAGGGGAGAGATAGTAGAAGCAGGGAGGCTTGTAGGAAGCTCGTAACGAGGAGGGAGATGCTGGTGGTGACTGGTGCCAAGGTGGTAACAGGAGATGGTGAGACGTGGTTGAATTCTGGATATATTTTGAAGATTAAACCAATATGATTTGTTGCTAGGTTTGATGTGGCATGTGAGAGAGGAACCAAGATGGTTCCAAGGTGTTTGGTCTGAGCAGTTAGAAAGATTGAGTTGCTGTCAACCATGATGAGGATGATGCACGAAGGCAAGTTTGGGGAATAGACCAGTCGTTCAGTTTTAGACGTGATGAGTTTGAGGTGCCTGCTAGACGCCCGTGTTGATGTCCAAGTCTGGAGTTGAGGGGAAGGTCTGGACTAGAGGTGACTTGCGGAGTCATCACTTAGGGGGTATTCAAAACCACTAGACTGGACGCGATCATCAAGGGGTCCGTGTGGGAAGAGGACCCAGGTCGAGTCCTTTTAAACTGCAGTGTTGAGAGGATTGTTATAGTGTGCAGTGTTAGGGGTCTTAATGTGGATATTTTTAAAATAATATAAACTTGGGGAAATTACCTCTTCACTAACACCTAACTAGAAGTTGGCGTTTCTTTTAATTACTAATGTAAACAGCACACTACAGTACTATTAACAGTACCTGTGTGTCTACTAGTACAGATCACAGATTTCTTTATAACATACAAGTAACATTGAAAGGAAATTAATTAGAAGGTGGCCCTTGCTCGGGGCTGGGCTGGGGAGAAGGGCCAGGCAAGCCCTGCAGCCAACCTCCTGCGGTCCCTCCCCCGCATCTGTGGTGAGCAGGGTCCCTCCAGCAGGTGTGGTCCCGGGGCCTGGCCTGCGGGGATCAGCCGAAACCGGCTCTCTGACAACCCCCCACCCCCAACCCCCCAGAGGCCCCGGAGTGGGAGAGGGCACTCTGCAAAGTTGCTGTCGTACAGGGTGTGGAACGCAAAAGCAAGTGTGCAGTAAGCCAGATTCAGGCCAGTAGTGCCGCAGCAACAACAGAACCCACGGCTGAAGGTGGAATCGCATTGGCCCCTCAAGGATTCGGGCTCCCTCCTCTCTGGTTTCGGGGTGGAGGATTCTCCTATTGATACATTATTTCTTTAGCAGGGTATGAAGCAACTGTTGATACAGTTGTGTTTTCCTAAGCAATGTTCCAGTGGTTAAGACACTTTGTACATACAGATTATCAATCATACTTTCCTAATTTCCTTAGTGGAACGTTGGTATTCCCAAATCTTTTCTGCTACCTTTTACTATAGTGACTAGATTTAATCTATTCCCCCTTTTAAGACATGAAATTCATTATGATTTACTCTTTAACAGATAGAATAGTTTTTCTTGACCCTGATATTCAGTGTTCCATGAGCATTGTCAGTTTTTGCAGAGAAGCTAGAGTAGTCATATTCTGGATGGCACAATATGACTCGACTGGGCTACAGAAGCAGAAGTTGACCAGCTTCGTCGTTTTTTAAAATTCTTTCAGTACTGTTGAGTACCTTATTTTGTAATGCACTAGGTAATTATTAAGACCCTGAGATTATTTATATGGAAACGGAACCATTTATACCCAGAGTCACTGAAAATCAGCTTTAGAATTCTTTTTCTTTCTGAGATTCATTCTTTAGGGAAGAAAAACACCTTTTATTTTGAAAAAATTTCAAACTTGCAGGAAAGTTGCAAGAATAGTATAATGAATTCCCATATACTTTTTGTCTAGATTAACAAGTAATTGAAAATTTACTACATTTGCTTTATTTTCCTATATAAAAGACATATACGTGTTTGTTTCTTTTTGGCTAAACTATTTGAGAGTATAAATTGCAAACATGACTCTTCATCCCTGAATATTTCATAGTATTAACAAAGAGCAATCATTCTCTTAGATAACTAATATACAGTAATCAAATTCATAGAAGTTAACAACGTTTGGTTACCTTATACTAGTATATAGTTCATATTTAAATTTTGCCTATTATTCCAATAGTGTCTTTTTTTCTCTTTTTCAATAGTGTCTTTTAATTTTAGTCTAGGATTACATAGTTCACTTAATTGTCATGTTTCTTAGTCTTTTTTTCTTTAATATCTGAATATAGAGCTTTAAATTCAAGTTCTGGGAGGTACTTACTTTGCTATGATCTTTTTGTACTAACTTTAAAAGTGATATTTTAGAAACAACGATGTCTGACACTGTGTTTAAAATGGTTTCTTTTATTTTTTTTGTTAATTCTCGTCCAAGGATATTTTTCCCCCATTGATTTTTAGAGCAAGTGGAAGGGAGAGAGGAAGAGAGAGAGAAACTTCAATGTGAGAGAGGCACATTGACTGGTTGCCTCCTGCACACGATGAGGCCGGGAGTGAGCCTGCTACGGAGATACGAGCCCTGGACTGGGAATTGAGCCTGGGATCCCTCAGTCCGCAGGCCGATGTTAGCCACTGAGGACAGCTGGCCACGGCGAAATGGTTTCTTTTTTAAATCACTAAAACAACAAATGCTTGTTGCAAAAGGTTAAGAAAGTACAGGTGTTTACAGAGAAAAAAGGTAGAAATCTACCCGTAACATCTCTTCCCTGCTCCACCTCTCCAGATGGCTCCTCTGTGTGGATAAGGAGCCGATGCTCTCCACACCACTTTCTTCTACTGATTGTATCATGTTTGCATTTACATATAAGATGTGCTCATCGCTTTTTTAATAGGTACTATACTGTACTATGGATTTACTATATTGTTTTATTTTCTTAAGGTGTCTGGTTATCATGTTAAGCAGTGTAAAAGGGCCTTATGACATGTTGTGCTATGTGGAAGGTGTCTCCTTTCAAATCTGTTTCCCCCTGGGGTGAGTATGTCTGGTAATTTATGATAGTGTTTTGACGATTTTATTTAGAGTTTGACTCCTATACCATTTTCTTTTTTCAAAAAAGTGTACTTTATTGTCCATACTAAATGTTTGCCATGGTGCTGATGGATTAAAGAATTTTCATTCCTGCCCTACTTTGATTAGTTGCTTAGTTATTTTATTTTTAATATATTTTTATTGATTTCAGAGAGGGAGGGAGAGGGAGAAAGATAGAGATAGAGATAGAAACACAATGATGAGAGAGAACCATTGATTGGCTGCCTCCTGCACGCCCCACACTGGGGGTGGAGCCCCAACCCAGGCACATGCCCTGACTGGGAATCGAACCATGACCTCCTATCCTAGTTCATAGGTCAACACTCAACCACTGAGCCACGCTGGTCAGGCAGTTGCTTGGTTATTTTAAAGAGAAAACTTAAGGCATTTAAGTGCAGTTTCTTGAAAATGAATGGTTTGAAATTGGCCGACATGTTGGCCGACTGAACACTCAGTAGGTTTGTTGTTTTTAATAATTGGATTTATATTCGACAGTCTACTTCCATGGATTCCAACGAGAGACAATTATTACCTTGTGTAGATTTTGGTTATTGTATGCTGATAAAATGTTGTTTGTATTTGTACCCCCTAGCTTTGGAATTCATGTATAATGTACTTTATGTTGAATTTGGTAGCCTCCCCTTCTTAAAAATTTAATTATTATTTTTTAATCCTCACCTGAGGATATTTTTTCATTGATTTTTAGAGAGAGTGGAAGAGAGGGAAAGACAGAAATATTGATGTGAGAGAAACACATCGAGTGGTTGTCTCATGCACGTGCCATGAGGAAGGACCCTGCAACCGAGGTACGTGCCCTTGACCAGAATTGAACCTGGGACCCTTCAGTCCGCAGGCTGATGCTCTATCCACTGAGCCGAACTGGCTAGGGCAGCCGTGGGCAAACTACTACCCGTGGGCCAGATCCGGCCTGTTTGAAATGAATAAAACTAAAAAAAAAAAAAAAAGACCGTACCCTTTTATGTAATGATGTTTACTTTGAATTTATATTAGTTCACACAAACACTCCATCCATGCTTTTGTTCCGGCCCTCCGGTCCAGTTTAAGAACCCATTGTGGCCCTCGAGTCAAAAAGTTTGCCCACCCCTGGGCTAGGGCCTTTTTTTTTTTAATCAAGCTAACAATTACTTTAGACTTTTCCAACTGAGCATATACATTGGCCATTAGATGGAGGTTTAAAATTGGTCTGAATTAGATGCCTTTTATTTTAGAATGCTTTTTCTGTCAGATGCTAACATCTCACAAGTGAAAATATCCTTGGGAGGGCGTGTGGGTGTTGGTATGAGTGATACTGCTTGCAGGCTGGAGGAGGTCTGGGAGCTTGCTGTGGGCTGGCAAGAACCTGGAGCAACTCTGCTTTCCGACTAGAGCTGTTCTTGCCACGCACTTCTGCCAAGTGTAGTGAGGGTCTCTCTGGGAGGGTTGTATAGTAATCACCAATATTTGCTTCAGTGACTTGTATTTTGAGTCTTTTGTCTGATATTTAGCCTCTTGGTGAATAGTTATTTATTTTTTGGTGAATAATTATTCATGACATGCTCTACTTTAGTTGACAGATGATGCATGTCAGTTTTAAAATTTTTATGAATTTTGTGTTAATGTAAAGTAGAGCTAACATTTTTTATAAATTATGTAGATGGCTGCACAAACCCTTTAAAAATGATTTGAGAGAGAGAGAGAAAGAAAGAGAAAGAGAGAAATGTTGATTGGTTGCCTCCCATATGCACCCTACCTGGGGATTGAACCTGCAGCCTTTTCAATCTGTGAGACAATGTTCCAACCAACTGACCCACCCAGCCAGGGCTGCAGAAACCCTTCACATTGAAATCCATTTATTCTGACCTTGAGCACACACAAAGGCTTTCTAAAATTGCCTGGTTAAAAAATGCAACTCTTCGATTAACTTACCAACTCTAGACCAGAGTATCTATCTCAACTCTGTAACATAAGCTGCATATTTTATGTCCTACTTCTGTGGTGGAAATAACGTTATGAAGACTCAAGTCAGCGGAAACATTTATTAAGCATGTACTGCTCTGTACCCAGCTGCTAGGTACTGGGATTCCTCCATTTAAAAGAATCAGTCTCTGCTGTATCAGGTGTTCATCATGGTCTTTGGATTTTCTAGTCGATGGGACTACAGAATCCCTTAGGTCCTAGCAACAGAACCAAACAAGTCTAAACCTTGTGAAGGAATGGGTAAATGGTCACACTGTTAGCTCTTCTTTATGCTTTGTATTAGTAACCACCTGAAGTATCTTAAAAGTTGGAGAATTATAAAAATACACCTGCTTGCAAACACATTTAAAACATTTTTATATGTAAAACGTAGAAATGATGGAAATAAGGATCCACAGGCAGTCTGTGTACGTCACAGACACACACACACACCTGTCAGGTTTGGCATCCAGCACATGCCCAGCTGACAAATTGTCCCGTCACAGCCAGGTTCCAACTGTGCCCCAACTTTATATCCTCTGACACCGAGCTTCTCTTCTCTAATAACGAAGAAAAGTAGTCAAAGGAAGGTGAGCACCAACTGTTTCTTGGTGGCCTCCTTGTTTCTCCAATGCGTGCAAGCAGTGCTGTGGTTGGGGAAACGCTGGTTTTATATTCAACTACCACTGGTTGTTTCAATGTTGACATTCTTCCTTAATAAACTGCTGTTGATCTGCTGTCATAATTGTGACAATAAAGTTTTGTTTTTACTTTTTAATGGACATGGTAAACTTAAGCTTAAGGAGTATGCCTGTCATAGTTAACCTTGGGGAAAACTTCAGGAATACATTTTCACCAATTTCTAACAAAATATTTAATTCTACCTCAACGAAATTTATCTGTTTACTGTAGATAATTTGCCTTCTGTGGAGAGGGGCAATGTTTATTTTATGCCTTTCTCAGGTCACACACTACTGTGCTGCTGCTTGTGCTACTTTTGTCTTGCTTCGGTGCAAATTGTGTCCAGGTGGTGAGGTAGTCCCAGTCCACGGTGTTCATAGGACTTGAAGTCATGGTTTCTGGACAGACAGACAGACAGACAGACAGAGCTCCCATGAGCAATGATGAACATGTTTGTGGGAGCATAAGATGCCCAAGAGCTATCGTTCCTCACTGCTAACACTAGGAATCCAGGTAGTTGTGGATTCACAAGAGGCTGTGCAATTATGGTTCCTTTGAAATGAGAAATTTCCGTGTAACTTGCGTGGATGATTTCTCTACTTAAAGAATTGTTTGGAAAAATGGGACCATTCTTCTCTAGCCTAAGTCGTACAACATTAAGACGCTAACGTAATGATTCTCTGATTCAGAAATTTGCATTATTCACAGTTAATTGTTAAAACCTGTGCTCATTTTACGGTACTACGGAGGCAGAAGGTATACTGGTACAAGGTTGGCGAATATCTCCAAGAAGAACTTAGGCCATACTTTGAAATTTCCCCGTTAGTGACTTTTCTTATTTTTTTGTCCTCATGAAGAGAAAGTGTGAGGAAAGTGAGTGACCTTGTTCTGCTTCAGTGAAATTTCAGGTTCTAGGTTAAGCCTAGGTTTATTAAAGTAATTTCTTTGAGGCCATCAATGCATATATTTTGATTTTGTAAAAGGCACGATTTAGAACGGGTTGGCAAACTGGCTAGTTGGCAAAATTCAGCATACCAGCATGTTTCCGTACAGCCCGTGAGCTCAGTTCCCAGTCATGTATCTTGATTGCGGTGGTGGTTACGTGAATCTATATGTATGGACTAAAATTGCATAGAACACACACATACACAGGTATGAATATGAATGCAGGTTAAAAACAATGGTGTAAACTGAATAAGATCTAGTCTGGCTAACAGTAATGTACCAATGTCAATTTCCTGGTTTTAATATTTGAGTATGGCTATATAAGATGTCACCATTGGAAGGGGGCTAGATGAGAGTACAGAGCTACTGTTTCTGCAACTTCCTGTCAATCTGTAATTATTTAAAAATAAAAAGCTTAAAAATGTATAAGCATATTGATCACTGGTAAATATCAGATTGCTGTAAAAGTTTCTAAACTTTAGTCTCAATTTATGTATTTCTGGATATGTAACGAAAGTTGGCCAGCTGGCACTGGCCTGAAGACTACAGTTAAGTGTCAGTAACTCCTTGTGCCCTCTGTGGCTACTCCATATTTTTTGCCATTTGCAGTCTCTCTACCTGTCATCTCTCTCTTTTTTTTTTTTTTCAAATATATTTTACTGATTTTTTTTTACAGAGAGGAAGCGAGAGAGATAGAAACATCGATCAGCTGCCTCCTGCACACTCCCTACTGGGGATGTGCCCGCAACCAAGGTACATGCCCTTGACCGGAATCGAACCTGGGACCCTTCAGTCCGCAGGCTGACCCTCTATCCACTGAGCCAAACCTGTTAGGGCTCTACCTTTCATCTCTTATCTCTACTCGTTTGTTCAAAATTATTTACTGTGCACCTTACCAAGACCTGGGGATTAAAAAAAGAAAAAAAAAAAGCAAGGCCCTTACTATTTGTGCTTATTTTTAAGAAAAAATATTTTTATTGATTTCAGAGGGGAAGGGAGAAGGAGAGAGAGAAACATAAGTGATGAGAGAGAACCATTGATTAGCTGCCTCCTGCACCTTCTGGGGATGGAGCCCACAACCTGGGCATTTGCCCTGACCCGGAATTGAACCATACAAAATTATCAACTTAATATTAGCTCGCTATATTTGGCCAAACATTTAATTAACTCACCCTAATGCCTTGGCAGGGCCAGACCAAGTGATGGTGCTTAAAACCCTGGATCTGGATGAGATGAGGTAGGAGAGAAAAGAGTAGGTGGAGAAGAAAGAGGAAGACAAGCAGGGAAAAGTTTGGGGACTGTAATGTGAAGACATTGGAATTATAGGAAGACCAACAGATAAGACTCGGGGGGAATAGCCA